TTCTTGTCTGCTCTTTATCTGTCCTTTGATTTTAAATGATAGCTTTGCTGGGTAGAGTAGGTCTGTGCTTTTCATCTCTTTGAATATTTCTTGCCAATCCTTTCTAACCTGCAAAGTTTCTTTTGAGAAATCAGCTGTCAGTCTTATGGGAGCTCCCTTGTTTTGAGGCAGAATTTTGAAAGAATAAGCTGGTTGCTATTAATTGTAATTGATAAGAAAGAGACAAGCTCAAAAAATGAGGTGGTGGGTATGCGAATAGAATTAAAAGGGAAGATAGAGCCTAGGATATACGGGGCTGGAGAATCAAATTGTTTCTCACCAAATCAAATGTGCCATCATTAAGTACAACCTTACAACAAAGACCAAGGCCAGGATACTGCTATTACCATGGCCTCAAAGAAAAGACCAAATAAAAGGGTGCAAATATACACTCATTTTTAAAGACCTCTGCAAGGATTAAGGAGATGTCTTTCAGCTGAACAAAGTACACCTAAAAAGATTAAGGGAATAAGAAGCTTAATATGTTCAAGACATACCTATATCAAAAAACTAGGTAATGGACAAGGCACTTTGAGCATCTCAGGCTGAACTGGTTAGTGACCGTTTCTCTAACCTCTTATGAGCGGTCTTCCAGACCTTCACTCCCCCAGCAACTCCCACATTTGTGTGAATCCCAATTCTTTATTAAACAATTTATTCATGTAATACTTTCAATGAATCTGCTTTCCTTACCAAATTCAGACTAAAACACTTTGCCTTCCTAAAAGAGAGTCTGAGGCAAAAATGAAATCTATTATTGTATTAGAAGGTGCAAATCCAGGCTCATAAGCGTGAGGAAGAAAGGAAGTAGGGCTAATAAAGATGGGTAACAAATGCACATTGCTAAATTATTGTACAGTATTTGATTTGTTTCATGAAAAGCCATGAAGAGATACTGCCAATCATTGGCAAGTACACTTGCTTAGCCACTGGTGCATCTCTGGACAAAAGGGTGGAAAACTGTGCCTTAATACAGTCCATCAGAAAAAAGAATAGGAATTTATCTGACAGCTTCTTCTAGTCCATTGACACAGATTGCATCATCTAGTCCTTTTGACAGTCACTGGGGAAACCCTGTGTCATGATGCTTCCTAGAGTCCACAAATGTTGGGATGGGCCGGGAATCCTGCACATGTGGCTGGTTGACCTCAGGTGGAGGAATCACAGAAGCCTGCCAGTAGTGTCACTTTGTAGGATGGTCGCTATAGCAAAGCAAGTGGTTGATAGCAAAGCAAGTGGTTGATGGTGTAGTAAATGAGGCCAAAAATCTGAGAAGGTGCTTGAGGAAGATGTGTCTAATATTGTATCCAAGGATGAGATATTTATTGGCACAATAACGCTGTATAATAAACAGCTATATAACTTCAGGGGCATAACAACAGGCACCTCTTGCTCACACATCTGCAATCAAGTAGGTGTCAGGAGGCTCTGCTGACCTTGGCTGGGATCATTCAAATAACTGGGTGTTAAATAGCTATCAGCCAATCTAGACAGAATTCAGCTAGGGTAACCAGTGTAACTTGGCTCTGCTCTATGCCTGTCTCATCCTCCTGCAGGCTAACCCAGGCATGCATGTGCTTATAGCAACAGAAGAAGCTCAAAAGTAGAAATATGCTAGTTGTTTGGAAGTGCTTATGGCCCAGAATCAGAGAGGGGTACTTCAAAGAAGCATAAAAAAGGACCACGAATACAGGGAGGAGTAAAGAATTAGGGCCATTTTTGCAGTGTTACATCAAAAATGAATACGACAAATACAGCCAATTCATGGTTCTAATAGGTATTATTATTGTTTTAGGGGGAAGGACTTGAGATTTTATCTAGCTTTAGTTGTAAATTTGGCTCTTATGGAGTATGCAGGTCATCTTTTTTATAAGGTATAGTTGGTACACAATATATTAGTTATGTTAGTTTCAGGTGTACAATATAGTAATTAGACAGTTTTAATACCTTAAGGTGTGATCACCCCATTAATTGTAGTAATCATCTGTCACCATGTAAACTTACCACAATATTTTTGACGATATCCCCTTTTACCTTTTTCACCCATCTTCCTACTGCTGCCTCCCTGCCCCTCCCCCCGCCCCCCTGCAACCATCCCTGTGGTCTCTGTTTCTATGTGGGTCATCTTTCTTATGCCAAATAGGGGCAAATGAGTAATAGAGTTTGTTGTTGTCCCCCTCCCACCCTTAACAGTATGGTAGTTGTTTGTAGAGCCAGTTAAATGGCAACAGATTTTGGCTTAGGGAAGTCCAAATTTAGCCTGGAGAAAACCAACTTTGGCTCGCTTAAATCAATTCAGGTATTCCTCTGTTCCCAGTGCTAAATTCTAAAGATGAAGAAATCCATTTTAATTCCATTCCTGTACAATAATTGCTAAGCAAACAAGCCAGTTAATTTGGCTAAGACTATAGGACCAATAATGCCCAAACCCTATATAATCTACATTCCTTTTCATAAATATCTTAATAATATGGTGACCTCACTGAACCAATCAGAAGCCCCAGATTCTAGACCAAGTTTTATCACTAACTAGTTTTGGGACCTGTGGGCAAGTTAGTTAATCTCTTTAAACCTCAGTGTCCACTTTATATAAAACCAAGGATTGCTATATATTACTATATCCCAAATGTCCCATTTTTACAGGATGTAAGTAGTCATTTCTTATTCGATTAAGAAATAATTGCTTAAATACAGTTCAAAATGTTTATTTCAGGACTTTTATGATGTACCCTCTGAATCTCTTAGAAGGGAATATAATGTGCAGCAAACAAGTTTCACCATTGTTTTTTTCATGAAACACGTCATGTGTCCCACTGAATATACTTGTGGGAAATGTATTATTATTCCTTGCATCCACATGGGTGAACTTATCAGTCAGGATCCCAAAAAGACACAGACAGCAACTTCAAATGGGGACATTTAAATAAAAGAGTATGATATACTGACAATTTACAAGGGTATAGGCGGGACTTAGGGAGACCAAGCAGGGCTAATAACTATACTGGGGTTTATAACAAAGGTAGTTGTAAGCGACCCTGAATGAGAGAGGGAAACCTGAATAACTGTTTGGAAAGGGATGCCTAGCAGGAGAGAGGTGGGGGAAATACTATTTCATTTTCTTTTTTACCTCCAATCTTCTTTGGGGGATTCTCATTTGTTGAAACTAGCCAAAAGCCAGAGGGCAAGGGAGCCTGCCTAACAGAACAGGGAAGAGAGGAGTGGAAGATGGATCCAGAGAGGCAGACAGAAGCTATCTAGCACAGTAGGGCTCCATTCACAAGCAGCCAGATTAGGTGATTAAAGAATGTCCTCAGTACTCAGTCTTTATCTTCACACTCTGCTTTCCTTTGCTGGCTTCCTCCTAAAGCAGGTTCTTGCCACTTGCAGCACAGATGCCAGCAGGAGCTGCAAAGGTCACTTTAGTTTACAGTTCCAAGTAAAATAATAAAGTGTGTGTGTGTGTATGTATCATCTGTCCAGGAAAAAGTCCAGCAATTATTAATATAATGAGAATACTTTACGTGACATCAATGTAACCTGGCAGCCAAGGAGAGTGGACTGGAATGCATGTGTGTGAACAATGACTTCACTGTACTCGTCACCATTAGTGGTAGACACCATTGAGTGAGCATGTGTACTGTGTGGCTGTTGCATTCAAAATGACCAAGCAAGTAGAACAACAAATCTGCATCAAATTTTGCATTAAGCCTCAACATTCCTCTGTGGAAACTATTCGGATGACTCAGAAGGTAACAGCTATGGGCAACTGGTGGTTGTCAGCTTCATTGTACCGGGCCCACTCACACGTCACATCTTGTACAATTTTTTTGGCAAAATATCAAATCATCTAGGTGACTCAGCCCCCCTACAGCCCAGATTTGGTGCCCTGCAACTTCTGACTTCTCCCAAAACTAAAATCTCCTTTGAAAGGGAAGAGATTTCAGACCTTCAATGACATTCAGGAAAATGCAATGGGGGAGCTGAAGGCAACTGGGAGAACTGTGTGAGGTCCCAAGGTGCGTACTTTGAAGGGGACTGAGGTGTCATTGTCCTATGTACAATGTTTCTTGTATCTTCTTCAATAAATGTCTCTATTTTTCATAGTACATGGTTGGGTACTTTGTGGACAGACCTTGTATATAGCACTTACTGTTTGTCCAGTGCTGCTGAAAGACATTTCAGATACATTAACTCAGTTATTCCCCATACTAACCTGTAAGGTAGCTATGTATTACCCTATCTTTAGAGATGAAGAAACTGACATATGACTGGTAAGGAAAAGCTGATATTTAAGGTCAGATAGTTTAGCTCTAAAGGCTGTACTTTTAACTGCTGCACCATAGCGTTTCTTGAAAAAATATGCCCTATCTCCTACGGCATCCACACCAGCTATCAAAAAGAATTTGGGGTCATGTGCTCGTCACTGAATCAATCACTGGGCACTTTGCTTGCTAAATGGAGCCGTATGTTCATTCCTGACAGGACCCCGTGACTGCTAGCAATTTCTCCCCAAAAAAGATGCCAGACAGACATACAAAGAAACAAAAGTCCGTTATAGGCAGTGTAGACTTAAAAGAAATAGCTGTAGAGACTGAAGGTACCATTCTAGTTCTGCCTGTTTTTGCCATTAACTCTACATATCACCTATCACTTCACTGTCTGCAGAGATTCTGATTTCATCTTCCTGCAAACATGGTAGTGAGCATAGGTGGAAAGATATGAGGATCTCTAAACAAATATCTAAATATATCTAATTACACAGATATAAATATAACACATTATATTAAAATATAGTTGCAAAAGAGATATGCCAAACTTGAGCAAATAAGGTCTGAAGCTAATTTTTTAGTCAACACTATTTCTGAAAATTTCCTTAGAAATAACTTCCTTTTAAAAAACATGGGATTAAATAAATGAGGTCTTATGTTTTAAAGTGGTCTTGTAGACATTCCACATAAATATTTCTTAAGAATAAATAAAGCACAATTACAAGTTTATTGATTTTAGCAAAATAAAATGACACAAGTAGCTTCTTGAAAACTAATGTGTCACTTTTCTTGTTTGTCTCCAGAGCATTTGGCATTCTTTATCAATTGGTACATAAAAGAGTAGAAAAATAAAAGATTGTCATATTGTCCTTTGTATTTCTCTTTCAGTATGTCAGTGTGGTAGTCTACCAGAAAGTAGTAAATGGCTTCAATTGTGGAAAGGAAGGTGTCTGGCTTTCCTTTCTGATGGCGCCAGAAGCAAGTTTTTCTTGTTTTCAACTCAACTTGTAACAACCCTGCCAAAAACAAATATGAAAAATATAAATATTTCTTAACCACCAAGTATGATACAATTATTAATCATATAACAACATGGATAAACTTTGGAGACAAAATGGTGAGTTCAGGATGAAAGTCCCAAGAAAACAACATACAGGTCAAAATAAAGCAAAACTAAATAACAAAGTTTATGAAAACAGATGTATATAATAAAATTTAATCTAAAAAAGCAAAAGAATGATAAACATAATTCAGCAGAATAGCTAACTCTGTCTGTGGGGAGGAGAACAGAGTTGCAAGTTATTAATACAATTTTGGAGTTTAGGTTCTTAACTAGCCATTATATCATTATGTGCTATGACTCAATGTTTTTTATATACATATATTTTATATATACACACACACACACATACATACATATATATTCTCTCATATGTATCAAAACTAACTTGCGATACATATGAGAGAATATATATACATTAAAAAGTAACATGAAAAAAACCCACCTTTGCCTATTTAATGGCAGAACTGAGGCTGGAAGTCAGGTCTCAGCCCTGTTCTTCCCATTAGACTTAAAATATAAACCTAACCATGTCCATGTTAGGCTTTAAATTCTTGAATGATGCCGCAGCACCCATGGATATAAGACCAAATTCCTAGGCATGACATTCAAAGGCATTCATAAATTGATTTTCTTTAGTCTGTTTTCTTACCATTCTCATATGTGTATACATTCAACACCATATTTAACTTTTTCAGTTTCCTGAATGTAAAATGCTTTTATATCCTTGTGCATATGCCATTCTTTTCGTCTCAAATGCCACCTCCCCAACTCCCCTTTGTTCACCAAGATCTGAACAGGGACAATGCATCCTGGCAGGCCCTCCAGGGAAAAAAGCAGGGGTGGGTAATGCTGTTGCTGCACCCAAAACTTGCTGCATTTTCTCATCTGCTTACCTGTCTGCCTCCCATAATAGATTATGTGACAATGTCCATTGTCTTCTCAATAGTCACTTTCTCTCTTATTAAAAAATTCTGTTCAATGTGTATCCAGCTAAAAAAACAATTTCCCAACTTTCTTTACAGCTAGGGTGGTCATGTGAACCAACTCTGGCTAAAGAAAGGAAAAATGAAATCTCCTAGGTGGAACTTTTAAGACAGTTTTTTTGTTTTTTTTTTAAATAAACAAGTGAGACTCAGTTGGATACACATATTGCCCTTTTTGCCCTTTGTTTTGCCTGAATAAATATGGGGTGCCTCTTACAAACATGCAGATGAAAATGATGAAGGAGAAAAACAGGAGTCTGAGTCCGTAATCGCACTGTGAGGTCCATGTACCAGCCCAGCACTACCCACCGCTGGACTGCTACACCTGAAAAGTAAACCCACTACTTGTTTTAAGATTCTGGTCAGGTTTCTGTTTCATGCAGCTTAATACGACCCTAACCAATAGCCACGGTGATTGATCACAAATAGGGTAGAGATATTGCCTTATTCTCCTTTATATCCCTCAAAGTAGTGCACTGCCTGTCCAAGAGCAGGTGTTCAACAAATATTACTGAATGGACAAATCACTCAAGCCATCTGCCTTTAAAGTATTTTGAAATATCTGGAAAATATTTCAATTTGAATACTTCTGATTCAAAGATACACATAAGTTAAAACAACCAAAATCAAACCCTTCTTAACTATTTTATTACTATAATTACAACCAAGAAGTAAAGACAAACATTTGAAAATGTTCTAAGTAATTAGTACAATTAAAATCTTAACATAGGCAAGAGGATCACTTTGAAAAGTATATGATTGTCTAACCATTACAGAGTTTTTCTTTTGTTTTATGTTTATAGCTAAATCTCTAATCTCTAGAGAGATTGCTCTACACCTGAAACTAATACAAAATAATACCGAATGTAAACTGTAATTGAAAAATAAAAGAAAAAATCTTGACACAGGATTTTGACCTCATCAATGTAATTTGGAAAAAAAAAGTACCTTATAATAATGCCAGTTTCTATAATATATCTAATATGCTATAAAATGTTAAATATAAAAACCAAGATTCAGTGCCTATCAGCACTAATCTATCCTGTTTTGAAGATTTCCTTAGAAGCATGTAGAACCTTTTAAACCATGTTGAAATACAGATATGGGAATTACACAGAAAATTAACATTTATTTTTTAAAGTTCAACATATACATTTAAAAAATACTCTTGCTAGTATTTCTGGAAATCAGTAACTTTAAGATAAAATACACAAGAAGTTTTGGCAGTAAAAGTTTGAAGCAGGTAATTAATTATATATGGCTTTTTCCCTCCATAATTATTGGCTGATTTTCTTCAACTGAAAAATGAGAATGAAAATCGTATTATTGTGGGGACTGAGGGAGGTAGTATATGACAAGCACTCATTAGGAAATGCTTATAATGAGACCAAGTCTGTCAAAATGAAGGGACAGAACTGGTTAATTTTTAAAACAAATTACAATATAATATGATTCAATAATTTGGACTCTCTCCCCAACAAAAAAGAAACTCATCCTTCCCTCCACACCCCTCCAAGCCTTCCTATGGTGAATCTTCAGGAATGCTATGTCACTCTTCACTTGCAGGTTTACACTTTATGATTAAATTAGACATTCAACCTTTAGATGTTTTATTTTGACAGTAGTAAAACATTCAGAGCTAGGTCTCTGTATAATCTGGCAAAATGGTATGTTTTTACATTGTTAAGGGGAGTCTTAACCTCAGCATTCATAATTAAGATAACAGAAACATAATTTTTAATACATTACATTTGAGGGCTTACACTGAGGTTTAGAGTTGTTCAGCTTAGTCCCACCAAATAATAAAATGTTTTAAAAGGCAATGATTTATAATAAACATGGTTGTTTCTTGTGGAAGTAACTTGGCTTATCTGGAAACTGGTATTTTGCATACACAGAGGTTATAAATGTGCACAGAGTCCCAAGTTTTCCCTGTGGAAAAATGAGGGGCCAGAAGTAAGACATACAGAGAAGGCTGACTCTAGAAATCTGTTTATTTCATGACTTTGAAGGAACTGAGAAATCCCTTTTAAAAATATAATGTAGTACAAAATTGAAATATATGATACTTTCTATGTGATCTGGAAAGAAAGCAACAAAACTTTTTATACAAATCTGATTTTAAGCCTTAAGCACAAAAGTGGACACTCTGAAAACAGATTCTGAATTGTATCTCAATAATTCCTTATAGAGTTTTTTCCCAAGAGTTTTTACTTATGTTCTTTCACTGGATCCTTTCAATTACCATATAAAAAAATGGCTCAGAAAAATCTGCGAACTGGGAAAGAACTTGCTGCTCAAACCATTCAAAGTAATGTGGCAGGCAGCACTCCAAAGAGCAGGGTTTTAGGGTTCCATTTAGGGTTCAATTGAACATCAGCAGCAAGATTCTTCCAGGTCTTATGCTCTATAGTGTCTGTCTGTCTCCTTCTCTCTCTCTCTCTCTCTCTCTCTCTCTCTCTCTCTCTCTCTCTCTCACACACACACACACACACAGATATCTTTCTCTGTCTTCATTTCTCTGCCTATTTTTCTCACATATACGCACAGGAGCACACACAGAATGACAAAGCAATCTTACTGACAATTATGTAGATCTCACAAGTATAAACTATATAAATTAAGCTAATTAAATTTGCTATTGGCACTCACTTTAGTTTGGTACTAATTAACACAATTCAGACTCTAAAGAATGGCATATTTGTTCTTCCCTAAGTTATGTACACCTTTAACAATAGCCCAGGTTGAAACTATTTTGGCAACTAGGTATCTCGCTTGCATTATAAGTATACATGACACACAACTAAAGCTGTCAAAAAGCTGGAAATAAAACGAAAGCTTTTAGAAAAACTGAGAAAGCCTGAAAAACTGAGTAAGATACAAGGAGCATGAGAGTTAATATGAGCTCTTGTTCTTCCTGTTACTAGTTGTAGTACTTGGGAAAATAAAGCAACTCTTGAACCATTACTATTAGGAACTAAGCTTTTCCCTCTAAGAGAAAAACAGATATAAACATAAAACAAGAGAAAGAAACTCTCTGTAATGTTCAAGCTGAACTGGAACTATCCTTTGTGATATCTTTCTTGGCTGTCTACTGAAGCAGTGACATCCACATAGTAATAAATTTACCAGATCTTGGTTTCTAGTATCATTCCCCATTAACAAGAACCACAGCTCCTTTGAATGACTGATCCTAGGTCTGGGGCAGGAAAAAAGTGCTGTATGAGAAAGACTGATGAGGCCATGCCACAAAGGACTTGAAGGGCTCCCCGTGGCAAAATTTTAGACAATTTGGGCACCAATATTATAATCATGGCAGATTATAATATATTGAATTAAAAAGACATCGGACCACAGTGATCTCACAAATGGTAGGGGCAGAAGGAGAGGGCAGAAGAAGAGGGGGGAAAGGAACAGCTCTTCGTTACATAAAAATGCCAGCTAACAAATGCAGAAGAAATAATAAAATTAAAATTTCATCATTTTGCAATTCTCAATATTACTATCTACAAAAGAGTCATCAGTGAATACTAAAATCACTGAGTGAAAAGCAGTTCAATAGACAGTCCATAGTCTCAAAGCATCACTCCACAGATCACTACTAATTTCAAGCAAGAAAATAAATCCTTATAATGGAGGGATCTAGCAACCATCTTTAACCAGGTATTGAAAGTTAACACTGATAACAGAGCAACTTGTATTATATGCCTCCAGTGAATGGGGTAATCATATAATTTATCCACTAATCAGTTTTTCTGAGAGTAAGAAGAAATGCTTTTAATAATTATACCAAAACAATAGATATAAACTGGAATTCTCATGGACAACCCTGGATTTATCCTTAACTATAAGTATCCTTGCAAAAATATTTAAACTGGATTTAATCATGACGAAACATTCAGACCACTGACCTGTCTGCTTCACATAAGTCTAAGTCATGAAAAACAAAAACAGAAGTGTTCTACATTAAGAGACATAACCAAATGGAATGTGAGCTTACATTCTATATCAGAGGAAAAAGAGATACAAAAGATATTTTGGGGTCAATTAGGAAAATGTGAATTTGGATCATATTTGTTCATTTTCTTAAAGTGATAATGGTATTATGAACATGCAATTACTCTTGAAAGATGTACACTTAGGAATTTAAGGCTGAGGTGTTGTACTGGCTGCACTTTCCTTTAAAAAGATTCAACCAAAAATATATATATCTAAATATATACACACATATATAATAAAGAAAGAGAAATAAAGCAAATGTGGTAAGATATGCAGGTAGTTAATGCAGTTTTTCTTAGTTTGAAGTTTTATCAAATAAAAGTTGGGGGAAGGAGCAATATGGATACAATTTTTTTTCTTACCTTGAAGTCTCTCATCACTGAGTATTTTGTTAGTTTGGTTCCAGGTGCTATCTATAAATATAATTTTTTTCAGTGTTGTCTCTTTGCACTTGCTGTCATTCAAATCCTGTTCTTCAGTTTTCTTGCGTTTAATAGACGGCTTGTCAGGGTCATCGTTTTTGCCTCTAACATTATTTTGAATCCGTTTTTGCAAATAAAAAGAAATCTCTTTTATTGAGACTGACTTAGGTCCAGGAAAAACAAGCGCAACCTAAAACAAAGAAACTTAAGTTAATAGTGTGCGATATGATCTTCAAAGTGAATAAACTCTGACTTAAAAATTTAAGAGAAAAAATATATTGCTTATCTAACAAACAAGCATTAGGTTTTACCAAATGTGCTTCCTTAATATGTGTGGTAAAGTTTTGGGCTCTTCCTAAATAATCCATAATCATAATATACTACCTAGAAGTTTTATTTCAAAATTAGTTATTTACCTATTGATAGAAGCCAATTTAATTGTATCGTGAAACAAAAAAATTAAACTTACAATATTTCATAACATCAAAGTGTGTGATACTTTGTAAAAGAACCATTAAAAAGTACTCAATAATTAAATACTATTTTCACCTTTATAATACACAAAGACAAAACAAATGATACACAGTCAATGCTGGTAAGGAAATGGTATAATGGGCCTTTATAGCCATTACGCACAGCAGGTTTAAATAGTATAACTCTTCCTGAAAGCTATTTGGCAACGTAAGAGTCTTGAAATGTTTATACCCTTTGGTCAAATAATTTCACTTATGAGCATTTACCTTAATAAAATACCCCTAACTACCCATATATTCACCACACCTATCATATTTGCTAAAGTATGTTTATTACAGTGAAAAATTAAAACTGAAATACCTAACCTTCAAGGAATAATTCTGTAAATTATGGTATTTCCTTTATTCCAGCCTTTTACTGAGATACTCTATGCTACTAAAGCCTCCAATCTCTGAACAGCTCCTGTCGCTGAGTAGACACCCATTAAGTATCAGTGACATGGATAAATGATGGCAGAATTATGAGTATTTTATCCTTCATATTTTCCCTATTTCCTAAATTTTCTTTAATGAGCCTCATTTTAATATGAAAATAAACATTATAAAAATAAAATTAAAAATCTTGCATTTATAAACTTTGAAGTAATACAAGTTGCTTAAACATTCACAATACATGCCAATTTCCCCCCCATACCCAATTAGCAAAGTCGAGGGTTTCTTAATTTTCTTGGATTATAGGTCTATCACATCTCTTTATAGAACCTAGCACTGTGTTCTATTTAATTAGCATAAATGATACCTGGCTGACCAGAGAAGAAAATGAAAATATACTCCTAAATCCAAAACTCAGATATTATTTACAAACACAGCTTTCTATAAAAAGCAATAAAAAACACACTTAGAGTAAAGGAAAAACCAAGTTCTTTCTAGAACAAATCAGCATATTTTTAACTTTGTTTGCTTACCTACAACAACAAATGATCCCCAAGAGACCTAAAAGCATTTACAACCTTCTTTAATGCGTACCCAATGCCTACCTCTTTTTGACATCTATTGCAACATTATTTTTCAACAAGGGCAGTAACATCTCACCAATGTGCAATTTCAACTACGTGAAAACAAATTAAGAATGTAGAAATAAGCCAGGAAGACCTCTGAGCAGACAAAAGAAATGTTACCAAGGCCATATACTAAATCTCCTAATTTAGGGAGAATTCTTGAAAATCCTTTTTAGACTTTTCCTCTTTAGGAGAAATTTTAACAATGTTTGTAATCTGGTTTCTCAGTTAACATTAAGTTAGACCATCTACGTGTAGTGTAGGGAGGAAAATGAAGGGGGAGAAAGTAAAAGCAGACATAATAATATTGGTAAAGTGTAAAACTTCAAGAAATAATGCAGAAAAATAATAAAAAATAGAAACACTCAAAAAAGCCTAACAACCTAAGGTCTTCTGATCTTTTCAAACACCAGTGAAGTAAAGAGTATGTTGTTTAGTGTTATATAAGGAAAACCCTAGGTCATTAAGAAAAGTATTTAATTGTGTTCAAGTAAGCTCAGAAAGGCACTGTAGTTATTAAAATTCATTTTTAGAACCAATGTGAACAGTTGTAAAAAATAAGCTGCCTACTTCATGGTCCTTTTCTTCATATTCCGGAATACAAGGGTAAGTGTAAATAGTTACATATTCAGGTGCTAAGAGTTTTGCATGTATAGCGGTACTTTTGCCATCTGTTTCATTTGGATGTTTAATGATGTCAATCTTCAGTGGAAGCTAAAATTAAAAAAATAAAAAAGACAAGTGAACTAAACAAATACAAAAATTCTAATTTTTATATTAATAAAAATGGTTTTTAAAGCTTAAATAGCAAGCCCGTACTCTATCCCTATAAATAAGTAGGGTCCTGTACAAATTCTATTACAAAATCTTTTTTATTACAAAATCGTAAGCATGTAATTCTGTAACCTAACAATACTTAACTTACTTAACTAACACTTAAGCACACCATATGACATTTTAGGTGAAATGTTTAAATTAAAATTATAAATTATTACATCCATATTATTACCCTACCGACCACACTCAAGCAGGCGTTCCTTCTGCTGGACCCTGTACTTATGGTTTGGAAGTCATACTTTTCTACACCAGGATATTAAGAATGATAAGCGTCAAGGCAAAACCAAATTTCTTCCTCAATATTATTAATCATGTAATAGGACAACTCTCTTAACTCATTTAACATAGAATCTGCTCTTAAAGCAAAGCTCCACTGTCACTTTCATTTAAGTTACAAAGCCATTGAGTCCTAATCCTTGCAATCAGTATCTGTGCCAAGAACATTTTTTATAATTCCTATAAACTTCAGATTTGTTCATTTTATGATACATCTTCACACTTCACTCTTCATCTAACTTCCTTCACAAAATAATTATTCTGAGATTCATCCATGTTGCTGTATCATTAATTCCAGAACTATTTTTTTTAAGAAGCAGTTGGTACATGCTTCTAAATGATCTCAATTGCATATATTTCATCTCTTCGATAATTACGTGGAAAGAAGACAGTATATACTCCACAAGGGCCATAAGTATACTTCCCAAATAGTTTGTAGTTTAGGGTTTCAAACCCCATGTCTCTTACATCTTCTACCCTCCTTACTTAAGCCTAGTGATTATTTGTAAGTTAGGCCCAACTGCTTCAAATCAGCAAACCAACTTCTAGTTACAGGAAATTTACCACCCAAGTAGGCAGTTCACAAATGATTTTACATCAGTCTACTTCTGGCTGAACTCTACATCTGACTTTCCACATGACGCTCAGTCCCAGTTGAACTACATTCCCTTTTCCTAGGGTCTGTCAGTACCAGATCAGAATTATCTTGCCCAGGGAAGGTAGGAAAGAGGAAAGAAGAAAAAGAAGGCACATCATAAAATCAATTTTCTTATGTGGCTGAGTAGAGCTAAAAATTCTAAAGGTGATCAACATTTCTGATCTGCTGGCTACCCTTGAAAGAGATCATTTATATCATGGACACAGGACTGAGTGTTATTAGTGTTATTTTATAAACGCTGTACCTAGCCTATTACAAACTAAAATCTACAAGTAAACCATTATGCAAAATTTGTGCTTGAGAAGTATTCCTGTGCCCTGGCCAGGTGGCTCAGTTGGTTGGAGCATCGTTCTGTACACCCAGAGGTTGTGGGTTCCATCCCCAGTCAGGGCATGGGCAGACGGCAACTGACGTTTCTTTCTTTCTCTCTTCCCACCCCATCCCCTCATCTCTCTCTATAATCAATAAACATATCCTTGGATGAGGATTTAAAAAAAAAAAAAACAACCAAAAACAATTCCTGTGACTCAGTCCAGGTATCTTTAGTTTTCCATGAGTTAGGCCTACATTTCTGATATCAAGCAAAATCACAGACACAGATCAAATCATGGAAATACATGTTTGTGCTCTAGTTCACATATTTTAAAGGAAGACAGTTCTTAATTAATGACAGGATAACATCAGTAGAGCTGACCAGATGTACTGCAAGTACAGATGTTTTGTTTTTAAGCATGTAAATAACATCAATCTGTTCTCTGACACGTCTCCTATGAGAGATTTACCACAAACCTTTCTTTCCAACTTTATCAAAAAGCCATTAACAGGAAGCCCTAACTAAGCCTTTCCCCTGTGACAGTCAGCTTTCCCAAAGAGAGCCTTTTAAATTCTAGTACTCTAATAAAAATGAAGCTTTCTTTTACCTTATGCCTTTTCTCCTCTGGAAAAAAAACACTGAGAGCACCTTTTAATTTTGCTTATGCATTTCTCATGACATTAAAAGAAATCATATTCTGCACAAAAAACCAGGTATTTATAAATTTATTCCCTAGACTAAAACTTAAAGCTTGGGAAGTACTTACTTACTATGTAGTCATCTTCCCTTCCCAAGTAGGCTATTTAAAAGCAAATGCTAAACAATTGGTAAAAATAAAAATAAAGTAGAAATTATAAAATTTTATAGTTATGATTAATATATTATTAATGTATCAAATTTTATATATGGCCTTTAAAATGTAAACACTTTAGAAAACTGTACAGTTCAGTAGGCCATTTAGAGTTGCTCAAACCGCTGGCAGTGTTTTGCGTCATTTCTAGTAAATAGTGGACATTAGACCACTGATTTGGGGAATAATCCTCTACTATTAAACTTCTAGGAAAATATTAACTATGTCAGTACCTCACTGACTTTTATTATTCTGATCTTCAATCCTTTTTCATCGTAACACAGAAGTTTTTTAAAACTTTTCATGAACTATTCTTTATGTGGCTATAAGTAGAAGATAGAATAATTCTGTATATACTTCAAAAACAACACTTTGAAATGTAACATTCTTATAAGTTAATGAGTAACTTAAAAAGAATTATTGCCCTCAAGTTCTCAGTTTTTCTGAAGTAACTATAAAAATGATTAGAGTCCATGCTTACTTATTCTTGGCCAGGAAACCATCCCATAGCCTGTAAGTGTGGTTTTAGACCCTGAGAGGATTATGCACTTGCCAAGATGGTATATGTAGGCTAAACTGAAATTCAAGTTACGAAATAGGAGTATTAACGTATTCTTACTTCGAATTAAATGAATCTTAAAATCACCACATTAAAAGTTATTAATATAATTACAACTTATTTTCTTGCTGGTCAGTTCTAATGGGCCCATGTGTAAGAGTTTACAATCCTACGAGGCAGCAGTCAAATTTTATGTATTATTTGATTTACTCCTAAATGCCAGGTTGCTGTAAAACAAGTTAACATCTATGTAATAAATTCTTTGATAATGGACACATAATGGTCTACAGACCTTTTACTTATATAAGAGTAGTCTTGGTAAATAAACAAAAAGTATTTATAAGCTAAGCAATCAATTCAAAAAGATTTTTTAAATCTGGCTTTAAATCACTACAATTTATAACATAGCCCAATGAGTAGGTCTTAAGTCTTTTCAATTTGGTTTAGTTTCATTTTGGTCACTGGCATATGCTCCATGTTCACGTATAGGATGGAGGTAAGCCCATTCTACAAAAGCCTAAACAAAAAATGAACCTACCTAATTCCTTTGGGATATATTTTCTCAAAGAGCAGTCCCAGGACCTGAGGTAGTTTTTGAAGCTCCTTCATGGAGTCTATAAACTTGTCTCTTGTAGTGTTCATGTTTATATCACATTTTTTTCTATGTTATAAATGAATTATAATCATTAATTTTAAAAAAGTAATTGATTTCATTAAAAACAATACAGTTCAGCTCAGATCTAAGTGCTTTGGCAATGTGCATCTCTTTTTCCAAAGAGAAGAAAAACAAATAGGTTTACCAGTCTGTAGGATTAAATTTCTATTAATATAATTCATTTTGATAATGGTATTATTTACCAACTTCATCAATTCCATTAGAACAGGCAAATATGAGATATCTTTTTAAAATCTATTTTCCTATTTTCAAAGAATTAAATTTCTTACCAACCTTCACAAGTGGCATCTGTTCCATAGGTACATTTTCAACTGGGACATAACATGTATAGCAGTAGAACATTCTTGAACCACCACATTTAAGACATTTTGATCTTCCACTTTGTTGAGCTTTTTGAAGAACTTCTTGAGACGCTAAGCGTAAGTTTTGAAGAGGATTTTCTGCAGCTATGGAAGTAGTTTGTGATTGTTGTATTTCCACAAACTCTGAATTCTTCTCTTCCTTTTCTTTCAGAAATATAGGTTGATTGAGAGACATTTTTCATTCAAACCAAACTTGAACACATATTTCTAAAACACTTTATCAGAGGTCACACTGGAAAAAAATAGTGGGGTGGTGGGGCAAAAATAAAACGAAACACTTTACTGTCTCCACAAAGAAAGTTACTCAAATTAATTCACAGCTGTGTGCTGTTTTTAGTATTTATTAACAAAGGTAAACAAGTTTTTTGAAATCACTAAATTAGCAAACTTTAAACTCAAAACAATAAATTCCCCCTTGGAGCCATTCCCCCCATTAAAATAAAAAGGTGCTTTCTTAGAAAACTAATTTCAAATTTAAAGTTTAGGTACCAACAATCCATTTTTCAGTGACCCTTTTTGTTCCAAAGACAGCACTTTGTTTTATACTAGGAGTGCATCGGTTTAATGTTCGTATCAGCCAGGCCAGGAATGTATTCAACCCCATAAGCTCTTTGAATTGATATTACATGACATCCAATCTCACCCAGAACTCTAATGGAAATGCAAGGTTCCAATGTAATCAGTAACATTTAGTTGTTTATGGCCTAAAAGATATATTCCTCTCCAGCTTAAATTAAAACACACGTAAAATATAACTAAACAGCCATTAAAATATGAGATACATCTGCTACCAATTATAATTTGTAAAATATCCCCAAAGGTAAATATATGCCCTGAAAAATAAAGTGCGATCTTATAAAGTTTTATAGACTTACATTAATGTGTACTCACTCTAAGAATTCCTAGTGCTTTTTTTTTTTAAACACCATTTGGATTCCTAGTTCTAGAGATAAAACAGTAAAATAAATTTCCCACTTAGATACTTCCTTCAAAGAAGGGTGATGGCTGCCAAAGCTGTTCTTCAAATACTCTGTAACCATAGGATCTTTCAGGCTGAAAAGAGATTGGGGCCTTTTGATTTGATATGCATTCCAAAGCTGTAAAATGATTCTCCCATCATGAAGCCTATAGCACTGTGGTGTTTAACTATGAGGCCCCGGGCACCTGGAGTACAAACACCGACAGGAGAAACACTGAATGCAACAGGAAACCTTCTGCGGACTCCCACATTAGAAAATGAACAAAGTCCAGCGAAACTTAATATACAAGATAATTTACTAACAAGAAGGTAGTGATACTAATTTAATTACTTACAGGAGTGCTTTAGAGATTGTAAATCCCAGCGAGCTTGAGACCCAAAAAAGAAATGCAAAGAAAAACAAAGATAGTCACTAAAGGAAAAGTTAAATATCCTTGCCAGATTTACTCAAGGGGAAAATTAAAATACTGTACAATAAGTATTTCTGATGTGTACTGATTAGGTACAGGTTTACATCTTGGGTTTTTCAGAAATAGTGATATTTTAGAATGATAGCCCAATCACTTTTTCCTGCCTCACAAATGGAAAACATTACCTGCTTCTAATCCCCACCCCAAATCACCTACCTAAAAATGGCTTCTATCTTTGTGAATATGTCCTCAATGACTAGGACAGGGCAGAATATTAAGCTGTCACCTTTTCTTGAGTCTCAGAGCCTTTTAAGATCACATGAGAGTCTTGGACCTTACCTGCACGAACTGCATATACACACTATTTTGCTCACAATTTCAGGTGGTTTGCAGATCTCTATAGAGTCCATCTACAGATCCATGTAAAGAAATCCTGACTAAAATCAGAAAGCCATTCTAAGGACAGGAGGCAGCCTTAAAAGTCTGAGTGTGATCCTATTATTCTCCAGATATTGGAGTTGCAAATCTCCTATTGGCCAACAAGAGGTCAATTGTCGTAGCAACAGAGGTCTTCATTGCACTTAGGAAGCTAATTAAGTTTCACCTAAATCCTCTAGGTTTGGGTTTGTTCTGGTGCTGCCTGAGGTGCTTACAGAGAAACACTTCTAGGCTCTAAGTCTTGAGTTACCTCGATCATGGGGCTCATCCTAAAAAAGAAACTGAACTAGACTAACCTGACTCCATTTCCCTGGGTGTTCAATGGAAAACTACGGGTGCATTTTTCTAGGGCTTTCAAAATGCACTGCTCCTGAGATAAATCCCCTATACTTGGGCTTCCATCTATATAACTAAGAGAGTATTAGTGAAACCTTATGTAGATGTTGTTCCTCTACAAAAGCAAACATAAACACCTGTGAGACAGTGAAAGGGTTATGTTTATGTCCCGCCCCTGACCCACCTACATCCTCTCACTTATGGCTGATGTGGCCACACAGACTAGGCAGCCACCTCTCGAAGCCTCTGAAACCACATGACCAAGACATCTGTTCTGATCTCAAATGTGTACAACAGCCTGCCTCAAATGTGTACAAGTCATGTGTAGCAAAGGTGATGATTCAAAACCTTAAAAACATACTTGTTAATACTAAATATATGCAGGGAAAAACAAGTGGAGTCGTGGGACTTCCTTAGAAAACATGAAATGACTTTATTCCTAACGAACTAACTGCATCCATCATTCACGGTAACGAACATGGTACATCCATCATTCTGCAACCTAGGTTAAAAACAAATCCTCCTTCTACCTCTTTTTTCCCCCAAAACTAATTACTCAACCACAATGCATTAATTCTACCTTGCACATAATCCTTTACTTTTAGTCTCAAAGTCAGGACTTTAGATGGTCTATAGCAATCTCTTAACGTTTTTTTACCTCAGTGCATTTATTATTGGTTCCACATATTTAACATGGAAAAATGTACCTTAACATAGAGTTCCCCTTGAGTGAAGCTATCTGTCCTAGCAGCCAACTCTGCAAGAGCAGCATTTTTTACTCATCTCACCTATCCCTGTGTCTAACGCAGCAGGAGGAAGTCGACACTTAACTAAATAAATCAAAACCATTCTGAAAAAAGAAACAGCATACAGGATGCAGCTTGCTGATGAAGTACCTGACAAACTAATTTTAAGGGCCAACTGCAGCCGGGCATAAAAAGCAGCCTGGAAGACCTTTATTTGCAAAACAGTTCGAATAGAAAAGGCTCCTAGCTTCAAAGAAGTAAGTTGACTCGTCTCCCAACAGGACATTATATAAAATTCCCCTATCCTAGATTACAGTTTTTGATGAAACCCACTTCATATATTTCTTTCCTGGAGTATTTTTAAGAACCTGGTCACATAAGGTATAGACATCCAACGTCCATTTAAAAAAAAAAAAAATCCAAGGTATCACTTTTTTCCTACAGGACCGCTGGCCCCGCCCAGACCACCCACCATTTGGTAGGCACTGTGCTGCCTTAGTTGTACACCGTACACTGGGGCTCAGACAAAACTAATCCTTAAATGGGGTTTTAAAGAGCGATTTTATCATCTAACTCCACGGACTTGGCACCTTAAAGTGTTAATATCATTCCTCGCTGGTCCTTCATTTCCCCCAAATAACTTAGACATAAGAAACAGACTCCTTTGCTTATTATGTAACCATCATCTTAATATTTTAAATTTTACAATGCATGACATACTGTGTCTGTGCTAAGCTTCTCCTTCAATGATAACCAATCCTCCGCAAACCACTCCAAACACCAGAACTACAAAGAATAGGTATGATTCCTGGAGGACTAACTTTGCCAGTACAAGCTTTCGTTGAGATGTTAAACACCGAAAATAATTGTTACGGGAAAAATTTTTTTTGAAGAAAACTCGGGAAGACTCTTCCCAAGGGGCCCGCAAGATCCAAAAAAATGCAAGCGCCGCGCAGGGACACCCGGAACGACCTCTTTTAGGGCCGGGCTACGGAGCGTCCACTCCCCGCACTCGCGCAGCTCCAGCCAAGCCACTGGTCCCCAGAAAGGCGCGGAGACCGGCACGAGAGATCGGAGTGGGACTCAGACCTGCACAGCCCGCGGGTCCTCGCACAGCTCCACGCGTCTTCCGCTCCGCCCGAGCCCGAGGCGCGCGCCCGGCAGTGCTCGTGCGTGAACGCGGCGGAGCGCCTTCCGGGAGACCTCGGAGGGAGGAGCCCCGCCGTTGCTAAAGCTGTTGCTAGGGCCCGGGCTGTGCGAGCTCTGCGGCGAAGGTAACCGGCGTGGAGGGCGGCGGGGAGGGGTGAAACGGGAAGTCCCGCCTCACCCTCTCCCGCCACGGGCGGTGTCGCCTTCTGCTGCGAGACGGGATCCAGACGCTGGGCCACACAGGATCCGCGGGGCCGGGCCTCTCGCCTCGCCAGCCTTGCGCTGAGTTCCCTTCTCAGATTGGCCGGGACCACCAAAGTGGTACCCGGTTCTTGAAATGTACGCTCACGGTGTAGTTGCAGTGAATGGTAAAAATGCTGATCGTACAGAACGCTTTCCCATTTTACCTATCCCAAAAATATGTTAGTGTTATTTATGGCTATGTACGTTATTTGTATTTTGACGATTTGGTGTTCTTAAAAACTACACACGCAAAAAGCAAACAAAAAGAAAACAACAACAACAAAACCCTACACACCCATCTAGAGTTGGGACTACTTTGTGCACTTTTCCAGTTTAACATTAAGCATAGTATGTAGATAGATTATTAAACAATTTTTTTTTCTGCTTCAATCCAAAGGCAGTGCAAACCGGAGGAGTGCACGATGACAACTGAGATTTGGAACTCAGGGGCCAGATCTTGAGTAATGTATTGAGCAATATTAATTCAGTTAGTGAGTGATAAAGGACAGAACCTTGACCTGGAGGGGCTTACCATATCAAGTGAAGCATGAATAATGCACAAAATAGATATATCAGAATGGACTAGCCAATGAAGGCTTATTGGTTGGACTTGAGTAAGGCCTTGGGGAATGATTATGGTCTAGAGTAGTGTTTTTCTAGGGGATTGTGTGGGACCTTTGGCAGAGGTCTCATCCGTAAGCAAGAAACTATGTTTCACCAAAACTACACTTTAAAAAAATGAAATAGCATACCGTGGAAATATCAGTGCCTGGCACTTGGTAAAGTTAAGTATTGCTTTGTGGAGTTTTAAATTTTATATATGTAATTTGGAAATATACTATTTATATACACACACACACACATACACATGCACACTTATACTAGGTCATGTTTATAAAATTTATTTATTTTGTATTTCTCTTTAAAAAGATTGAAGGCCACTGCTTTAGGGGGAAAGGTAAACTTTCTGGGTGAAAGAAGGAGCAATAACAAAGTCTCCAAGCTAAGAATAAATAATGCACACCCTTTTCTCCAGTGCACAGATTACAAAACAAATGATATGATGTATTAATGGAAGTAACTATTGCTATGTAATAAATTAGTCCAAAATATGTGCCTTAAAACAACTATTTTTTATGGTCATGAATTGTGTGTTCAATAGGGCACAGAGGGACAGCATTTTCTAATAACAGCTGGGAAGACTATGAATGCGAGCAGAGCCCTTACGTGTGGTGTCTCCACATGACATGGTCTTTCTTTCAGTATGGCAGCGGTGTAATGAGCCTTCTTAGCTTAGGCCCAGTGCTCCAAAGGCAAATCTTGTAATGGACAAGACAGAAATTACATGTCCTTTTCTGACCTAGCCCCTAAAGGTAGCACAGTGTCCCTTCTCTTAACATTTTTTTTTTTTGATTTGATGGGTTTTATTTATCTAAAATACAGAAAAATGTTTTTGAGCTCAGGACAAAAATCACTGATGAGGAACATTTTTAAAGTGCCATACTGGTCTGTAAGCATTAACCGTTATTGAGAATGAAAGATAATTATACCAGCACTTCAGGATAGAACTATGTAAGCCCCAAAGTGAACTACCTATGCAATATTTTAAAAAATATATTTTATTGCTTATGCTATTACTGTTGTCCCAATTTTTTCTCCCTTTGTGCCCCTCCACCTGGTACCCCCATTCCCTTAAGCAAGCCCCACTTAGTTCATGTCCATGGGTCGTGTTTGTAAGTTCTTTGACTTCTTCATTTCCTATAATATTCTTAACATCCCCCTGTCTATTTTGTACCATAATTTGCACAGTTATGTTTCTTAATCCCTGCATCTTTTCCCCCATTCTCTCCCTTCCCCCTCCCAGCTGATAACCCTCCAAATAATCTCCATTTCTATGATTCTGTTCCTGTTCTGGTTGTTTGCTTAGTTTGGTATTTTTAGATTCAGTTGTTGATAGTTGTGAATTTGTTGCCATTTTAATGTTCATAGTTTTGATCTTCTTTTTCTTAAATAATTCCCTTTAAGATTTCATGGAGTAATGGCTTGGTGATGGTGAATTCCTTTAGCTTTATCTTATCTGGAAAGCACTTTATCTGTCCTTCCACTCTACATGATAGCTTTGCTAGATAAAGTAATCTAGGTTGTAGGTCCTTGCTTTTCATCACTTTGAGTATTTCTTGCCAGTCCCTTCTTGCCTGCAAAGTTTCTTTTGAGAAATCAGGTGACAGTCTTATGCGAACTCCTTAGTGATCCACCTTGTGGGTCACTATCTGCTTTTCTCTTGCTGCTTTTAAGATTCTCTCTTTATCTTTAACCTTAGGCATTTTAATTATGATGCACCTTGGTGTGGTCCTCTTCAGGTCCAACTTGTTTGGGACTCTTTGTGCTTCCTAGACTTGTATGTCTAGTTCCTTTGCCAAATTGGGATGTTTACTTTCATTATTTTTTTCAAATAAGTTTTCAATTTCTTGCTCTTCTTCTTCTCCTACTGGCATCCCTATGATTTGGTTATTAGTATGTTTGGAGATGTCCCAGAGGCACCTTATACTATCCTCACTTTTTTGAATTATTTTTTCTTCTTGCTATTCCGATTGAATGCTTATTTCTTCCTTATGTTCCAAATCATTGATTTGAATCTTGGTTTCATCCCCTCCACTGTTGGTTCCCTGTAGGTTTTTTGTGGGGGGTTTTTTAAATTTCACTTAGTGTAACCTTCATTTCTTCCTGGGTCTTTTTTATTTTGTTGCCATAATCAATGAGTCCTTTGAACATCCTGATCACCAGGGCTTTGAACTCTGCATCTGATAGTTGGTTATTCTGTTTCATTTAGTTCTTTTTCTGAGGTTTTGTTCTGTTCTTTCATTTGTGCCATGTTTCTTTGTCTCCTCAATTTGGCAGCCTCCCTGTGTTTGTTTCTGTGTATTAGGTAGAGCTGCTTTAACTCCCTGTCTTTGTAGATAAGGCATCTGTAAATAATGTGGGATGAAGGCTTATGGAATTGCCAGGGTGGGGCAACCTGCTTTCCTGCTTTGTGGTTTGTGCTGGGGAAAGGTTCAGAGAAGGGACAATACTGCTGCTGCCTGGCTTCTGGTCATTTGTCTGGCACTCACTCTGTGTAACTGGTGCCCTTCTAGATGTTGCCCTGGTGCTGAATCCCAGTGGGGGTGGGCCTGCACATATTTTAAGTCCTTGCAGGACGTTTCTGTAGAGTCTCCTGAAAGTCTGGCAGTTTCTTCTGCCACCCCAACCCCCACTGGCTTTTACAGCCAGAAGTTATGGGGATTTATCTTCCTGGTACTGGAACCCTGGGCTGTGTGGTCTGTCCTGGGTCTGGGATCGCTTGCTCCTAGGGTATCCCTCCTAAAATTTATCCACCACACGTGAATGTGGGACAGCCCCTGCCACCGCCTCTCTGTATCATACCATATCTCTGCATCTCCACCCCTCCTACCCATCTGGATGAATGTGTCACCTTTAAATCCTTGGTTGTCGGACTTCATACAGCTCGATTTTCTGATGGTTCTAGGTGTTATTTGTTTTGAGGTCTAGTTGTGATTCTTTCTGTGGTTACACAAGGACATGAAGTGTACTTACCTATACCTCCATCTTGACTAGAAGTCAACGTTCTTTTGGTTATGAGTCACAAGGCCTGCACACATTGTAGAAGAGGGGACATAGGTGCCTCTTCTCAAAAAGTTCTCAAAGAATTTGTGGCCATATATTTTTTTAAACAAACCCAGTGAATGTTGTCACAGAAAACCCTAAAATTTCAGTGGTTTAATAAGATAAACTTATATTTCTCACAGGAAATCCATTATGGATGTTTTTAGTCAAATAAAATTGTAGACTCAAGAACGTAGGTTTCTTTTTATTTTTAGTTGTTCTGCTGTCTCCTAGGACTTGGTGTCCACAGTTTATCTGACAAGAAGAAAGAAAGCATGGTAAGTCACACAAAAAGTTTTTAGAGATCAGCCCTAAAAATGTCATACCGTATGTTGCCATGTATAATGCTCACTTTTTTGCCCAAATTTTTGAGGGAAAAATAAACATGCACATTATACATGGATAGTACTAATTATGTACGTATATAAATTTTTTTAATTATTTTATTTATGCTCATACCTTAGAAGTGTAACTCTAGAAAGTAATAATGATATCTATATGCAAAATAATACCCTGGAATACTATAATCGGTTTTCTTTCTAAATATAAATAAATAAAAATTGAATTAAAAAATTAAAATGGAAGATTTTTTTCCCTGAAAGTTTGGTCCAAAAACATGGGTGTGCACTATACATGGGAGCACATCATACATGGCAAAATATGGTACCTCACTTTTTCCACATTCCATTGGCCAGAATTCAGTCCCAAGTTATCCACTTTAACTGCAAGAGAGCCTGGGAAATGTAAAGAAACATGCACATATTGGTGAACATTAATAGTTTGCTACATTCTAAGTTTTTAACCGAAACGCTGCAGTCCCTAATCTTTCTATTCTCAATTCTCTCAGAAGGAAAATTCTTTCAAGTCTTTTAAATATTTCTCCTGAAGATATGAAAAATGCCACACACTTAATTGATGGTCTGCCTATATTTAAAATTCTAGGTTGAAATCATTTTCTTGGAATAATCCTCTGAATTCTTATCTCTTGTCTTCTAATTCTTTTCTTTAACTTTTTAATTCTAGTCTCCAGAAGATTTCTTCAGTTCCCTACCACCCCTGCCACACAAACATTTTGTTGAATATTTAATTTATAATGTTCCATTTGTGCTTTATTTTTTTAAAAATTCTCTATTATGAAATTCTCGTTTCATAGATCTGTTACCTTATATCTCTCTAAGAATCTTAAAGACATTTTAAAGGTTTCCTTCGGTTCCTATTGTCTGTATCCTCTCAGATTCTATTTTCAGTTATTTGTTCGGATTTATATATTTTTTATGTTTATTTTTTTAAATTTTTATAGTTATTCCTTAAATATCTAGTAATCCTTGGATTTCTATTCATATTGAATAAGAATTAAAATAATGATAGATACAAGATAGATACTTGAGTTGGTGAACACCCAATACAATATTCAGATGATGTATTATAGAATTGTACACCTGAATCCTATATAATTTTATTAAACAATGTCTCGCCCATAAATTCAATAAGAAAGAAAAATAAAATGGTGATAGAAGCTCAGTGTGTCTGAACAGAGACTGTCAAGCAAATAGCTTCATAATAGGGTCAGATTTTACATTGCAAGATTCTCAAACATCTATAGAATAAAAGGCACTAATGAAGATAAGAGCTGAAATCAATGAAATTGAAAACAAATGTGCACTGGAGAAAAGCAACAAGGCCAAAATTCCTTCTTTGAAAAGATTAATAAAATCGTTAAGCCCTTGGATGGACTAAGAAAAAAGAGAAAACTCAAAGTACAAATATTAGGAATCAAAAAGGGAAATATCCTGCAGATAGTAAAAGCAATAAGAGAATTTTAGGAACAAATATTTATGTCCAGTATTTGACATTTTTTATTTTCCTTGCAAAACACAATTTACCAAAAGTGATGTAAGGGGAAACAGACTATCTGGATAGATCCTATATTAATTTTGGGAAATTATATCTGTAATAGTCTGCTCAGCTGCCATAATAGAATACCACAGACTCGGTGGCTTAAACAACAGAAATTTATTTTCCACAGTTGTAGAGGCCAGAAGTCCAAGACCGAGGTGCCATCAGGACTGGTTCCTGGTGAGGTCTCTCTTCCTGGCTTAAAGATGGCTGCCTCTCACTGTGTTCTCACATGGCCTTTGTGCATTCGGGGAGAGTTCTCACTGGTGTCTCTTCCTCTTTTTAAAAGGACAACACTTCTATAGGATTAGGGTCCCATTATTATGACTTCATTGAGGGGCTTCAACATAGGAATTGGGTTGGGGAGGAACACAATTAAGTTCATAACAGTATTCTCAATTTAAAACTCCCAGTAATTTCAGATTGAGGTAGTATCACCAGCAAGGTCTAGCAAACATTGAAAGAATAGTGTTGCTGTATCAGGTGTCCAAATTCCTTCAGAGAATAGATGAAACAGAAACTCATTTTTTTTTTTCCTGAGGTCAGGATAACTTTAATTCCAAATCTTGATGAGGAAGTTATAATAAAGAAAATTTCAGGCCAGTAGTTCTCATTAACATTTTGACATAGCTTCATTGTGGTGAATGTTTCATGTTCCATTACTTGAAAAAACTGTGTATTCTGCCCTGGTTGGTATGGCTTGGTTGGATGGAACACTGTCCCATTAAACTGAAAGGTCACAGGTTCTATTCCCCGTCAGGTCACGTGCCTAGATTGTGGGTTTTGTCCCCACTCAGACACATGCAAGAGACAACCTATCAATGTTTCTCTCTCACATGGATGTTTCTCTCCCTTTTTCTCTTCCTCCATTCCCTTCTTTCTAAAATCAGTAATTATGTCCTAGGGAGAGGATTAAAAAAAATGTGTATTTTGCAGTTGTGAGGTATGCTCTATAAATGTCAGAGATGCTTGATAATGTTCAAATCTTTTGTTTCCTTACTGATTTGTCTATGTACCCAATTTAGCAATTATTAGAGAGAGATGTGTTAAGATCTACAAATATAATTGTGGTTTTGCCATTATTTCTGTTTAGTTTTATCAATTTCTGCTACACTTATTTTGAAGCTCTTTTATTAGATGCAAACACATTTAGCACTGGTATGTCTTCTTAATGAATTGACCTTTTATCAATGTGAAATAACCTTCATCGTGTCTGATAATACTCCTTATCTTGAAGTCTACTTTGTGAGATATTAATATAGACACACACACCAGTTTTCTTATGATTCGTGTTTGCATGGTTCTAAAATTTTCTTTAGTTTCTTCCTAGAATTTCTATTTCCCTTGAAATACCCAATTTTTTTCATGCACTATAATCTAGTGTATATTGTAAAACCTTTAACATATTTATAGTATTTTCTTTAAACTCCTTATCTGCTAATTACAATAACTGTATTCTCAATTGATTGGTTTGTATTAACTGTTTTCTCTTGATTTTGGGTTCATCTTCCTCCCTCTTTGTATGTCTTGTAATTGTTTTATTGTGTCTTAGACATGTGGAAAAATGTGGAGGCTAAAGTTTAATTTAGTTCTGAGAGAGTGCAAGCCTTTCTCTGTCCTTAGCAGTGAGAGGTTGATCTTTTGAAATCTTCCCGGACTTAAGTTGAGCTTTAACAATGGCTGAAGCTTTCATTAGACTGAGTTCAACTGTGATTAATCCAGCCTCCAACCTCCCTCTTCATAGCCATCTCTTATATCTTGTCAGTATTTCTTTACAACAGGTTTAGACTGATGTTTTAAATATTTTTGGTTCCCTTTTGGAGCCAACTCTGTCAGGGCCTTGGAACCCAAGTACTCCAAGTACTGTAAGAATGCATGGGCCTACGTAAAAACTTCGGAGCACCTCTTCCACTGCAGCTTTTTTTTTTAAATTCAGAAGTGAGATGTAGGGGTAATTTTTTTTTTTAATTTGGGTGTCTTTCAGACTCCAGTTTTTTCCCCCAACTCACCCTGACACCGAAAGCCCAGCAACCTTCATCTCTGCAGAGTTACTGAATCACAGCAGACCAACTCATTCCTCAAAGGATACGCGCACCTCACTGCTGGGTAAGGAAGCTGCCACAGCTTTATGCTCACTTACAAAGGGCATATTTCTTTCTGGATTTCAGGTCTTCAAGGCTTCCAGGTAAAGCAGCATCATGGGCTTGCACAGAGCCTCGTGATTAGAGGGCCCTACATTTGGTTTAATGGTGCGATGTTACCATCTTAAATTCTTAATTTTTAAATGAGGTATTCCGCATTGTCACTAATTATATAACTGTTCCTGCTTACTGGCATCCTCCACTCTTCGCAAACGCCATAGAAAGGTAAGATTTTTATTTGTTCCAGGTTTTTCTTGTTGTTACCATAGAAGCATAAGTGTTTCGCATCCTTTTACATCCTAACAAGAGCCTCACTTCCTTTTAGCTAAGAACTTTGGAATTTTATGTTGAAATTAGCTGGAACTTTCCTACACAAGTCTCATTTCCTTAATTCATTTTCTAAGTCCCTTTACTTGAAATGTATTCTTTTTAGTGCTTTATACTAAAGTGATTGGTACTAGACAGACATTACAAGGAAAAATGTCAACATTTAAATGATTTTAATTTGGCTTCTTTATATTCTGTGCATTTCAAAATATACTGATAGCTTCTTCTAGCCGAACTGCTGTAATCACTATCCGTGAAGATACCATGAGCTTTTTTTTTTTTTTTTTGTCTCTATGCACATTACGCACTTTCTGTCTTATTTCCTACCCTTCTTAATCTGGCTGGGCCTAAGGTCCCTTGCGTTCCATAACATTTTTCTGACAGCTCTATACATCTTACCTTTTATTATTGTCACATATATCCTTTATTTTTATTATTGTATTATGTTATAAATTTACTTACACTCATCATGTATTTTGAACTATTAAAAGAATGAAATATTATCTTCAACTTCAAATGTGAGGTTATTTTTACAAAACATGGCCTTGTGATTTTGTAGTCCTGATCATTTTATCTATTGATGTGACATATGTGTTTTAGTAAATTATAATGTAATGCAATTTTTTCAGACAGCATTAGGGTATGATAACAGGATATGTTGAATTTGTCTTTTGAAATTTTGAAATTCTGTCTTCTCTTGGCTTTTCATTCTCTGAAATATTTTTTTTCTTTTTTAAAGAAATTTTAAAATACCTATGTATTTCTTTGACATTCATCTTCTCTTTTATTTTTTAATTAATGTGCACTGAAAGTACTCATGATGCACTGACCATGGGCCAACCTCTGTATGAAATTTTGACAGCTCAGCAGTGATTACACCATAGCTGCTATCCTTATAAGAGTTACAAATCTGATGTTACCATAGAGGATCTTTTTGGGGGCCAAATTAGGCTTCCTAGAAAAAGTGACTTTTAATTTGATATTGAAATAAGAGTTATATAGGCCAAGAATGGGTTGGAGGGAGAGGGTTTGGAACAAACCCTTAGAAGGGAGGGAACCTTCTAAGCAGCAAGAAAAATGTGTACACAGTTTCTAAGGCAAGGAAGAGCAAGATCTGGCCTTGATTAAAATTAATTTTTTGAGTGAAAGAATACATTTTTAGCTTACAAAGAATCTACTAATAAAAATAGGATTATTATTTATTACACTGAAACATGGAAATATTTAAAGTATTCACCATGTCAGTAGTGTGACTTTTAAATACATCATCAGCAAGAGGAACATGTTATTATATTTTGTCTCTGGATTTATTGGAGACATCATCAAAGATAGCCCAAAATATCTTGTAATTTTTGTAGGAATTTGAAATGAGGACATTCAGAAGGATTCATGTGGAGCTTTTCTTTAAGACCAGTGTGTCAGAGGGAAACTTTTCACAGAATTTGGTTTTAAGGCACAGAATTTAAACATTGATCTCTGTCAGTTTTCAAAGTTCAAGGACTTTACAAAGTGAATATTTTATAGTATGTTTTGGCTCTGAAAATTATAACTTAAGTTCAGTATCTTTATTTATTTAAATAAATTATGTATAAGCATTATAAACAATCTGAATTATATTAATGAATAGTGATTTTGCTTTCTTAGAAAATGCAAGAACCTCCAAAGAGCGTTGAAGAATTCTTAAAGTTTCAAAATTGGGTAAGTAAAGCATCCTATTTTATGTGCCAATACGTCTTTTAAAATATCATGAAACATGGAAATATTTAAAGTATTCACCATGTCAGTGGTGTGACTTTTAAATACATCATCAGCAAGAGGAACATGTTATTATATTTTGTCTCTGGATTTATTGGAGACATCATCAAAGATAGCCCAAAATATCTTGTAATTTTTGTAGGAATTTGAAATGAGGACATTCAGAAGGATTCATGTGGAGCTTTTCCTTAAGACCAGTGTGTCAGTTTTCTTTCCACCAGTTACAGAGGTGGAAACATCTTAGGAAAAGACTATAAGGACAGACTTATGGGTCCCCATTCTCTTTTTCTTTTTAAAAACGTTTGTATTGAATTTATTGGGGTGATATTGGTTAAGAAAATGATATAGGTTTCAGGTGTACAATTCTATAATACATCATCTGTATGTTGTATTATGTGTTCACCACCCAAGTCAAGTCTCCTTCATCACCATTTGTCGCCCTTTACTCTCCTGTACCTCCCTCACCCTCTTTTCCCTCTGGTAATCACCATACTGTTGTCTGCGAATTTTTTGTTTTGTTTTCTTTTGTTTAATCCCTCCACCTTTTTCACCCAGACCCCAACCACCTTCCCCTCCAATAGCTGCCAGTCTGTTTTCTATATCTATGACTCTGTTTCTATTTTGTATACCTGTTTCTTTTGTTCATTAGTTTCCACGTGTAAGTGAAATCACATGGTATTTGTCTGGCCCTGACTGGCTTATTTCACTTAACATAACTCTTCAGGTCCATCCTTGCTGTCACAAAAGGAAAGATTTCCTTCTTTTTAGTGGCCTAGTAGTATCCCATTGTGTAAATGTATCACAGCTTATTTATCCACTCATCTACTGATGGGCACTTGGGTTGTTTCCAAATCTTGACTATTGTGTTATAAATGATGCTGCATTGAATGTAGGAAATACGTTTCAATGTGGGATATGTCTATAACTACCTCCTTTCAGTAAGCTCTATCTACATGTATTCCCTCTTGCCAATATCCTATTCTTTTTCACTTAAAAAAAAAATTCTAGTCCTGTGTCCTATCAGAATTATATAGACATTTCTATATAATGTTCCTAATAAAAGTTTTTGTCTTACATGTTTATACCTTAAAGAGTATTTGACAATTATGCTTACTTACATCATTTATCCATTCGCCACAACGTAGACTCATAGGTCATTTGCAGAGGTGTTGCATCAGTATTCTTTGAAGTTGAATCAGAGTAATATATGTAAAATATGTTTATGGGTTGAAAGCTCCAGTTTCCATTATGTGTAACTACTGACTTCTGGAGTTAATGGGCTTACATGGGTTTTCTCTTGGGTTCATGCACTTGTGAGTCTGAAGGTCAGGCTTGTTTTGTGTTGAGGAGTGTCAAGGGCTAGGAACAAGATGTTAGTGTGGAAGACAGAGAGAACAGGAGGCTTTTTAATGAGGTGTGTACATATTTGGAGTAGATTAGATTTTAATTTGCACTTAAATGTAAACAGTTTGCTGTGACTAAACTGTTGACAACCGAGTTTCAAAAATATCTATTTTTAAATACCTATTGTCTGTTCTTATATTTGTCTAAATTTTTTTAATGTTTTTGAAAAAGGATCGCATTCCCTTTAGGAGAAAATGGAAAATGAAAATGTTCCTCGTTTACAAAAGTTTATTTCAAGCACTGTGGCAGAACCAGAAAATTTAAATTACTTTTAGGAAAAGCTTTTTGCAGCTATTTTAATTTAAATAATGATGAAAATGTGTTGTAGCTTAATCACAATGTTTGGGTCGTTTTTAACGTCAGGAAAAAGGGATTATAGTTAAAATTAAGCCAAACTCAGCACATAATTATAGAGACATTTGGACTATACTGTCATATATAGTTTGAGAATCTATGATTTTAGATGAAATATTCTAATTATTTGAAGTGAAAAATGTGTAGTCACTCTGTTCAAATTATGAATAATACTAATCAAATCAAGATCACAGGTTTATACCTGCCCTTCACCAAAGATAGAATAAAATCAAAGTTAAGCCCTGGTCAGTGTGACTTAGTTGGTTGCAGTGTTGTCCCATGTACCAGAAGATTGGGGGTTCGATTCCCGGTCAGGGCACATACCTAGGCTGTGGGTTTGATCCCCAGTTGAAGTGCCTATGAGGTACAACTGATCGATGTTTCTCTCTCACATCAATGTTTCTCTCTCTCTCCCTTCCTCTCTCTCTGAAATCAATAAACATATTTTTCAATCAAAATTAAAGCACCATGCTTATATGCAAAGGACAGCATCTATATTAATAGCCTCCCATTTTTATTAAATAACATTTGGTAAAACAACATATCCAGTTTTGCCATTTTGTCATTTATAAGTTTATCTGTAAATTTTTTTATTGTCTAGATTTCCCAACTAAATAATTGTATTCTGTAGTTTTTAAAAATTTTTAAAAAGTCTTTATTAATTTATTTTTAGAGAGGGGAAGGAAGGGAGAAAGAGAGGGAGAGAAACATCGATGAGTGGTTGTCTCTCCCATGCCCCCAGCTGGGGTCCTGGCCTGCAACCCAGGCATGTGCCCTGACTGGGAATCAAACCAGTGACCCTTTGGTTCACAGGCCGGTACTCAGTCCACTGAGCCACACCAGCCAGGGCTGTATTCTGTAATTTTTTAAAAAAGTTTGGGCTATGTCTGTGCATTTCCAAATGATTGGATACTTAAAAATATCTAGGAATAAAATGAGTAGATATTTAATTTATTGTTTGCTGGAAAAATCTTCTATCTTATAGACAATAGTAAAAAACTAATTAACTTCCTCAAATTCATTTAAGAAATATTTTGAGAACCTACTGTGTGTCAGGCACATAGGTATTTAGAATATATCAGTGAATAAAAATAGGCAATGGTCCCTGCCTTCATAAAGCTTTCATTCTTTTTAAAATGAGGCATATTATAAACAAACAAGTGAATAAAACAGAAGAGAAATAAAATATATTCTAAACTACTTATGGCTTCCTGAAAAGCCTATCCATGTTTAATTTTCTTTATTTTCTAAAATATAAAAGCAAAGGTATATTTTTGCATACTTGAGCAGTGGTTAAGATCAGAGGTTCTGGAGTCAGATTACCAGATTACCCATGTTTGAAAGCCAGCTCTGCTACTAACTAACATTAGAACAGTACCTGGAACCTACATGTTAGCTATTAGTTTCTTAAACCTTACATTTTATCATTTATTACAACATCTAAAGCCCTCTCATTTTGGCCAATTTCCATGATTTCTATCTTCCCTAATTGTAATTATTTTATACTTTCTACTCTTCTCTCCTGTCTTCCTATCCTTCATTATAGTTCCATGTATCTTCTTCTCTTCGATCATCTCTCTATTGGTCAATTCCCACATTCTTTTCTTGTTTCTTCCCCTTTATTTCATCAGCATTCTATTTCCATTTTTGTTTTTATGGAAATATGTTTATGTTTTTATAACATCCTTTTGTTCCACTAATGTGTCATTATCACTTCTCTTATTTTATTCAGTCATTCATTTAATGATTTTTATTCACTATCTACCACTTGGCAGGTAATGATCTGGTCACTGAAGACATAAACAGTGAACAAAAAAAGAGAAGTGTCCCTGCCCTCCTACTTCATCACCCTCCCACTTCTGCCCTACTCTATCCCATCACAGTTTTTCATTCCTTTTCAGTTATTTAGGTACCGAAGAGGTGGTATGAAGTCCTTCCTTAACTATTGATCACATTTGACCTTCCCTGTTATTTATTTTCTTATTCTTTGTCTTTTTCTGCTTTCCTATGACTTCTACCTGTCAGTACTTTAATTTCCCTTTTCTTAAAGCGTCGGTGTCCATTTCTGTCATCGGGCTGCTAGATTTGTAATACTGACCTGAAGGGTACTCAGATCCCTACTGTGACTTTTCACAGAAAATCAAAGGGAATTTATGATAGAATAATTATTTCATTTTCATTCTCTTTATTCAGGAAATCACTATGTTATTTGTTTATTCATTTATCTATTCATCCACCCATTTAAATGACCCATAAGGATTATTTTCAAACGTGGCTCTTATTCTAATTTGACAATATTTGTCTCCACAGACTGTCTCCTATGAGCATATCTTATTCCTCTGATATCTTTGCATTTTTTGACATTTAGTACCCGAGTGGTTGTGTTTCTTAAAATACATGCATACGTTTATAGGATTTGGGAGAGCATACTTATGTGTATCAGTAATATTCTTTCTTCCAAAATTGCAGAGGGAACTAGATCCCTCTGGGAGTTTTCCAGCATTAAAAACTATGTATTATGTAGGCACTTGTTATCATTATGGAGCACAGTTAATAAATAAAGTTATGTATAGTGGCTTTCATGGACTTTTTTTGGCTTATAAACAACAGAAATTTATGTTTCACAGTTCTGGAGGCTGAACAGTACATGCTCAAGGCACCAGCAAATTTGGTGACTAGTACAAAACCTGCTCCCTGGTTCATACACAGCCTTCTTGCTGTGTCCTTATATGGTAAAAGGGATGAGCAAGCTCTCTGGAGCCTCTTTTATATGGACACCAATATCAGCCATGAGGGCTCCATCCTCATGACCTAGTCACCTCCAAAATCTCCACTGCCTAATACCATCACCTTTATGATTAAGATTTCAACATACCATCTTTGGGGTGACACAGACATTCAGGAGGTACCATAGCAGGAGGTGTCAGCTCTAGTGTCCAACAGACATAAGACCAAGGGGGACAACCTGCACCCCAGGTTTGGGTAATCAGTAAGGGCTGTAGCACATTGTGCACATCATTAAATTTTAGAGTTAAGTGGGATTTGAAAGGTCTAACTAATCATCGTATTCTCTGCTATCCTGGCAATAACACTAATCCCTTTAGCACTAGTGGCTTTAGTAGGCTTTCAAATGGAGAAAAAGGGATTCCTGTTATTTCCCTCTCTTGTCTTCTCTTCTCTTTTCTTTGTGTCCTTCCCTTCCTGAATAATTTAGTCCTAAAGCCATTTGGAGACCAAAACAAGGCAGGCAATCAGATTGTCAGGGGAGATGGGATGTACTGTGGTAGCACAGAGCAAGCTGTCTGAACTCAACCACAGTGAGAAGCATGTCCCATGACACCATAGGTGTCAGAATCCATGATCACCTGAAAAGGTTGATCAAATAAATAGATATGTTAAAGGTAAGGGCAGCTAGGTTTTCTTTTTACTGTTGGAGATAATTACAATATGGAAAGAGAGAAAACTAGAATGTTTGGAATTAGAGGTGCCAATGTGAGCTCATCATTTTTAAGTACTCAGAAAAGACTGAGAAACTACATATATATGAAGTTGAAATGTAATGTGTAATACTGAACTAGATCCTTTTGCTATAAAGGGCATTGTTGGTTCAGTTGATGAAACTTGAATAGAATCTGAGGATTAGATTAGAACAATGCATCAGTGCCCATTTCCTAATTCTGGTGGTTACATTTTGATTCTATAGAAGAATGTGTTTGTCATTAGGAAATATACACTAACGTATTCAAGGATAGTGGATCATCAGTCAAGTAAGCAATTTATTTTCAAATGATTCAAGAAAAGGGTTTTATAAAGTATTTGAAGTTTCTAAAGTTTATGATTGTTTCAAAATTTTAATGAATACATTTAATAAAAATAATGCTGTGTAATACAATCTCAATTTTAGCTAATTGATTTAAGTTGTATCCCATCACATTTTTTGCAGGATTATTGGCCAAGGGATATCCTTTTTGAAGATAATGATAAATGGGTATACATGCTGAATAAAATAAAAGAAGATAGCTCATTCACTTCAATCTATACACATCTACGGGAAAATGTCCCTCATATATATGATACCCTCGTGCTCATGGAGTCAAGATTAAAGGAATGTTCAGTTCTTTTGGAAAACCATGCTGCTCACATATTTGAATGTGACAGCATAATTACTGGGATAGGTAAACATTATTTTCATGAGTAGCGCAATGGTCAGCTGTGTGTGTATATGTGTCTGTTTGTCTCTGTGTCTGTAGTCTCAAAAATTGAAACCCTAAGGTATGAAATATCTAAAAACATAAAATTAAATTTATTTTTATTTTAAAACCTCATCATTTCAAAATGGTCTCGTACAGATTTTTAGTTGAACATGAACATCCAATAAAGATGTAGAACATGTAGAATCAAACTATTGCTAGGACAAAGTTTCAGATAGCTGTGAACTTTGTTAAGCTGGAGAAAAGGTAGCTGAATGTCAGGAAAACAGGACTGCATCCGCTGATATTGGTACCAGAGACAAACAAGCCAGCAAGGGTCAGGGAATAACATAAATACCTAAAACCCAAAGTAAAAAGGGTGAGAGTTGATCTATGTGAGCTGGGTTAGCTTGAAGGAAGGAGTTACTTACTATTCAGTACTGAATAGCTGCAGAATTAATAAAAAGGACATCTGCTAGTAATGATAATTTTTTACTTCATTTCAGTATTTGTATAACTTTTTTCTTATCTAATTAATACTTTCAGAAAAGTTTTTAAATACAAATGGTGATTCTTGTCTTATTCTTTATTTAACAGGCAAACATTATATGTAATCCTTAAAAATGCTGATATTGGTTATACTTACGAAGCATTTTCTATGTATTAAATAAATTTAATTAGCTCTCTTATTTAGATATTTAATATTAATTTATGGACCTTGATTTTTCAAATTTTGAGAATGTGTTTATATATACTACTATTAAATTTACTACTGTTTTATTTTAAATATTCTTATTTAATTTTGGATTATTTTTAATGTAAAATATTTTTGAAATATATATATAGAGAGAGAGAGAGAGTGCACATGTGCATACTTTAAAAATAATTTTAGGTATATACTAGAGCTTGGATTAAAGTCTAGGTTAACTGACTTCACAGTCCCCCATAGACTTTCACTGGGCCATGCTCCAAAGTCTATACTTTCTTGAATTTAAGGTGACCATAAAAGCACAATGCAGGTAACTGAGCTATTTGAAAAACATGGGCTTGTTCGGACAGAAGAGATTGAGGTAAAACTTTAGATACAGAAGTAAGCACTGATGACATACTAGTTGGAACATGACATTTCTAAAAAACAAAAGGGAAGAGTAGATATAATACTTATTTACTCATTCAATAAGAGTATATGTCTAGCATTATGCTTATCAAAATAGCTAGTTGATTCCATTGAATAGTTTCATGTATGTTATATTTAAAATATCTAAATCATTTTCACTTTTAAAGAAGATTATACATATGTATATACATCCATACATGTATATGTTGTGAATTCTTATTTTTTTAAAGGTTCTCAAGGAAAATTGGAAAAATACAAGGCATTTATAAAGAAGTACCATAAGAAAAAGATGATAATGGTATGGTATTTGTTTTCATCGTTCTTGAAAAATTTTATTTCCATAGAAAATATAATTACTATAATTGAATAGATTATTCCCTATTTTTTAAAATTTTCTTTTAGCCTTTTATCAGCTATCTGAGTTTATAAAATAGTTGGACTCACATTCTCTTTACACACACAATATTAGAATGTTGGCATTTTCACATCACTAGGAGTTATTTAAAAATTTATTTTAATGTATTATTCCATCCTCTTGTTATTTAATAATTGAAATCCTATACTAAGTGCAAGTCCCATATCGGTTCTCTTCCTATAGAAAAAATTAAGAATCCATTTTATAAAACGTTCATAGAAGAACTAACACCTATCCTTCTCAAATTATTCCAAAAAATTCAAGAGGAGAAAAGACTTGCAACCTTACTTTACAAGACCAGTACTATCGCAATTCCAGAACAAGATAAGGATGCTACAAAGAAAATTATAGGCTAATATCCCTGATGGACATAGATGTTAAAATCCTCATGAAACTATTTGTAAACCAGACCCACCAATACATTAAATAGATCATACACCATGATCAAGTGGGATTTATTCCATGGATGCCAGGTTGGTATGATATCCACAAATCAATAAATGTGATACACCACATAAACAAAACAAAGAATAAAAATATGATCAGTCCTGGACAGTGTGGCTTAGTTGGTGGGAGTTGTTGGAGCGTTGTCCAGTAAACTAAAAGGTCACAAGTTCAATTCCCAGTTAGGGTACATGCCTAGGTTGCAGGTTTGGTCCCTGGTCAGGTGCATATGCAAGGCAACCAGTTGATGTTTTTCTTTCACACTGATGTTTCTCTTCCTCTCTCTATCCCTCCCTTCCCTTCTCTCTAAAAATCACTAAGCATGTCCTCAGTTAAGGATAAAAAAAAATCACATCATCATATCAATAGATGCAGAAAAATCACTTGATAAAATCCAGCACCCATTTATGATAAAAACTCAGCAAAGTGGGAATAGAGGGAACATAACTCAGTATAATAAAGGCCACATATGACAAAAAGCCATCATCATATTTAATGGGCAAAAACTAAAAGTGTTTCCCTTAAGATCAAGAACAAGACAGGGATGTCCACTTCCATCTCTCTTATTCAACATAGTACTGAAAGTCCTAGCCACAGTAATCAGACAATAAGAAGAAATAAGAGGCATCAAAATTGGAAAGGAATAAGTAAAACTGTCTTATTTTCAAGTGACATGATACTGTATAAAGAGAACCCTAAAGATTCTGCCAAAAAACTAGAACTGATAAATGAATTAATGAAAGTAGCAGGATACAAAATAAATATCCAAAAACCAGTTGCATTTTTATATACCAATAATGAACTCTCAGAAAGGGAAACTAAGAAAATGATCACATTTATAATTGCATCCAAAAAAATGCCTAGGAATAAATTTAAACAAGGATGTTAAAGACACGTATTCAGAAATTATAAGACATTGATGAAAGAAATTGAAGAAGATACAAGTAGGTGGAAACATACACCATGATCATAGATAGGAAGAATTAACCTCATTAAAATGACCATACCACCCAAAGCAATCTACAGATTCAGTGCAATTCCTATCAAGATACCAATGGCTTATTTCACAGAACTATAACAAATATCCCAAAAATTATGGAACCACAAAAGACACCAGATAACCACAGCAATATTGAGAAAGAAGAACAAAATTGGAGGAATCATGCTACCTGATATTAAGCTATGCTGCAAGGCCACAGTAATCAAAACATCATGGTACTGGCATAAAAACAGATGTATAGATCAATGAAATAGAGAGCCCAGAAATAAACCCACACCTTTATGGTGAATTAATATTCAACAAAGGAGGCAAGAACATACAATGGGATAAAGATAGTACATTCAATAAATGGTCCTGGGAAAATTGGACAGATATGTACAAAAAATAAAACAAGACCATCTTCTTACACCATACACAAGAATAAATTCAAAATGAATTAAAAACTTAAATGCTAGGCTCAAAACCATAAAAATTCTAGAAGAAAACCTAGGCCATAAAATCTGTGATATTTCTCATATATTTTGGTATGTTTCCTCAGGCAAGGGAACAAAAGAAAAAAATATATGAGACAACATCAAACTAAAAAAGTTTTTGCACAGCAAAGGAAACCATCAACAAAATGAAAAGACAATCCTCTAAATAGAAGACCATATTCACTAATGACATCTGATAAAGTGTTAACATTCAAAATTTATAAAAAATGTATAGCCCTGTCCAGTGTGGCTCAGTTGTTTGGAGCATTGTTCCATAACCAAAAGGTTGCAGGTTCAATTCCCAGTCAGTGCACATATCTAGATAGCTGGTTCAATCCCTGAGCCCCAGTCCAGGTCTGGGCCTCTGTGATCCCTAGTCCAGGGGCACATGGGAGGCAATAAATGGATGCTTCTCTCTTACATCAATGTTTCTCTCTCTCATTCTCTCTCTCTCAAAGCAATGGGAAAAAAAAAATGTCCTCAGGTGAGGATTAAATTAAAAGAAGAGCTTATAAAAACTCAACACCAAAAAAAAAAACAAACCCCAAAACAAAAGAAACAATCCAATTGAAAAATGAGCAAAGGACCAGAATAGATACTTCTCCAAAGAGGACATACAAATGACCAATAGACATATGAAAAGATGTTCAATGTCACTTATTATCAGAGAAATGCAAACTAAAACCACAAAGTATTACATGTAAATTGTAATTGTAATTTTAAAAATAACTAAATAAATGTAAAATTCTGAGTTGCCTATTTATGAATTTTTTCCACTTTTAGAAGTTATATTTTTATTTCTAAGAGCTCTTTATGCTTTAAAAATATTACCCCTTCTCAGTAATATATGTTGCACATATTTATACCACTTTATTTATGCATTTTTAAAATATAAAAAGTAGAGACAATTACTGAAGAAGATACAAGATACAAGAAACATTGAGGACAATGACACCTCAGTCCCCTTCAAAGTAGGCACCTTGGGACCTCACACAGTCTCCCAATCGCCACCAGCTGCCCCATTGTACTCTCCTGAATCTCACCGACAGTCTGAAACCTCTTCCCTTTCAAAGGTGATTTTAGTTTTGGGAAAGGCCAGAAGTCTCAGGGCACCAAATCTGGGCTGTAAGGGGGCAAGTCACCTGGGTGATTTGATGTTTTGCAGAAAAACTCTGCACACGATGTGATGCATGAAAGGATGCATTGTTGTGATCTTTACTGCCTTTTAATCGAAAAGAATTTTTTGCTATATAGAACTTTATATTTTCATAGATCTATAATTTTCTATTGAAATTTCCTGTCTTTAGTGACATAATATTTAAGAAGGCTTTCTTCATCACAAGATATATATTTGCTTGTGTTCTCTTGTATTATTCTTACATGTTTTTTTGTCTGTTTAATCTTTTAATCCATATAGTGTTTTGTGTGTGAGTGCGTGTAAGGGAGTAAACCATAAGGATCTTATTTTAACTTCACCAGTAGTGTGATTTTCTTCATATAATTTCTATATAGTCCCTGTTAAATTTACTCCTGGGTCAGTTTTTATTACTGTCAATGAAATTGTTTTTCCATTATACTATTAAGTGGGTTAACGTTGACATATAGGAAATTATATTGGTGTATGGCTATTCAACACTGTTAGTGATTTCTCACCTTGCCTCTGAGTCAGAAAGAATTCTAGTACTTTGCTATTAGGTATAACTTTTAGAGTTTTAGATAGCTATCTTTTTTTCAGTTTAGTGAAATTTATTTTTATTCCTACTTTATTTAAGATATGTAGATGTGGATGTACATTTAGGTTAGATATACAGGCAAACCTCACTTTACTGCACTTTGCTCTGTTGTGCTTTGTAAATACACAGTGGGGGCAAAAAGTAGGTTTACAGTTGTGAGTACACAAAACAGAGTTTATTCATGTTATTATTTATTAATTATTGTATTCTTTTCAACATGAACAACTGTAAACCTACTTTTACCTCACCCTGTATTGTGTTCTTTCACAAATTGAAGGTTTGTGGTAACCCTGCATCAACAAAGTCTATTAGTGCCATTTCTTTCCAACAGCATTTGCTCACTTCATGTATCTCTGCTGCATTTTAGTAATTGTTACAATATTTCAAACTTTTCCACTACTATCTTATTTGTTATGGTCACCTATGATTAATGATCTTTGACATCACTGTTGTAATTGTTTGGGGGCTTCACAGACCATGCCCACATAAAAACAAAATTAATTGATAAGTGTGTGTTTTCTGACTGCTCTGCCAATAGGCCATTCTTCTCTCCTCTTCTTAGGCCTCTTTATTTCCCAAGATGTGACAATATGGAGATTAGACCAATAAATAACACTACAGTGGCCTCTATATGTTTAAGTAAAAGAAAGAGATGAATGTCTTTCACTTTAAATCAAAAGCTAGAAATAATTAAGCTTAATGAAGAAGGCATGTCAAAAACTGAGATAGGCTGAAAGCTAAGCCTCTTGCAATAAACAGCCAAGTTGTGAATACAAAGGAAACATTCCTGAAGAAAATTTAAAATACAATTCCAGTGAACATACAAATGGTAAGAAAGTAAAACAACCTTATGCTGATCTGGAGAAAGTTTTAGTGGTCTGGATAGAAGATCAGACCAGCCCCAATATTTCCTTAAACCAAAGCCTAATCTGGAGCAAGGCCATAACTCTCTTCTGTTCAGTGAAGTCTGAGAGAGGTGAGGAAGGGGAAGAAGAAAATTTTGAAGCTAGCAAAGGTCAGTTCATGAGATCTAAAGAAAAAGGATATCTGAATAATATAAAAGTGCAAGGTGAAGCAGCATGTGCTCGTGTAGAAGCTACAGCAGGTTATCCAGGAGATCTAGGTAAGACAGGCTGAACTTATTAGGGGCTAATGCAGCTGGTGACTTCAAGTTGCTCATTTACTGTTCTGAAAATCCCATAGCCCTTAAGAATTATGCTAAATCTACTCTACTTGTGCTCTGTAAATGGAACAACAAAGCTTAGATGACAGCACATCTGTCTACAACATGGCTAATGAATATTTTAAGCCCGCTGTTGTGACCTACTGCTCAGAAAAAGATTCCTTTCAAAATATTACTGCTCACTGACAATGTACATGGTCACCCAAGAGCTTTGATGGAGATGCACAAGGTTAATGTTGTTTTCATGTCTGCTAACACGACATCCATTCTGTAGCCTGTGGATCAAAGAGTAATGTTGACTTTCAAGTTTTATTATTTAAGAAATGCATTTTTGCAAGGTTATAGCTGCCACAGATTGTGATTTCTCTAATGGATCTAGGCAGAGTAAATGGAAGACCTTCTGGAAAGGACTCATCAGTCTAATGCCATTAAGAACATTAATGATTCATGGAAAGAGGTCAAAATATGAATATTAACTGAAGTTTGGGAGAAGGTGATTCCAATACTCATGGATGACTTTGAAGAGCTCAAAACTTCAGTGGAAGGAGTAACTGCAGCTGTGGTAGAAATAGCAAGAGAACTAGAATTAAGAGTAGAGCCTGAAGGTGTGACTGAATTTCTACAATCTCATGATAAAATTTAATGAATGAGGAGTTGGTTCTTATGGATGAGCAAAAAAAGTAGTTTCTTGAAATGGAATCTATGTTGGGTAAAGATGCTGTGAAGATTGTTGAAATGACAACAAAAGATCTAGAATGGTACATAAACTTAGTTGATAAAGGAGCAGCAGGGTTTGAGGGTACTGACTTCTATTCTACTGTGGGTAAAATGCTATCAAACAGTATCACATGCTACAGAGAAATAATTTGTGAAAGGAAGAGTCAGTCCATGCCCCAAACCTCAGCGATGTCTCCACACCTACCTTCAGCAACTGCCCCCTGATCAATCAGCTGCCATCAACATTGAAGCAAGAACCTCCCACCAGCGAAAATTATGACTCGCTGAAAGCTCTAGATGATGACTAGCATTTTTGTTAGCAATAAACTATTTTTCACTAAAGTATGTACATTGTTTTTTTGACACAGTGCTACAGTATTGCACACTTAATAGACCACAGTATAGGAAAACAGAACATTTGTGTGACTCACTTTATTGTGATATTTATTTCAACTGTGGTTGTCTTGAGTTAAATCCACTCTGGCTGTCTTGGGTTAAGCCTATAGATTAGATATAGATATAAGTATCACTTTGCTCAAAAACTTGAAAATAATCTCCATGGTTTATAGAGAGGAAATAGAGAGGAAAATAATTCACTGTGATGATATCAAAGCTACTCGGAGACTTTAATTTTTGAATGTGGCAGATTACATTAATGGTTTTTTAGAAGCTGAACCATTCTTATATTATTAGCATATACTTTATAAATCTATGTTTTATAAGATATGATTATCTCTTTTGGCTTTGTTATCAAAATTATACTAACCTCAGAAAATGAGTTATTTAGCTTTTCCTCTCTTTCTATTATCTAATTAGTTTGTAGAGTATTGGGATATAAGTTGTTCTTTATGTTTAGTAAAGTTGCCTGTGAACTTTTATGGATTTATTTATTAGTTATATTTTGCAGAGGGGAATAGAAAAGTCACTAGAAAAGCTATGTGGAAGTTACCAGGTGCCATATGAGTAAATATACCAACTTTGGTGTATTATCAAAACATAATATTGAGTGGGGAAAAAGCAAGACACCAAAAAATAATGTACAGTTGATATCATTTCTTTAACTTTCAAAAACACACAACAATGGCTTTTTTTCTTTGTGTGTGTGTGTGTGTGTGTGTGCGCGCGCGCGCGCGCGCACTTATATGTGTGAAAGTATTTTAATGAAATGGAAAGGATAGAAACAAAACAAATAATAGTGCTATCTCAAGAAGGAAGAACTCATGACTAGAACTAGAAATCATTGTAAAAGCAGGTCTGAACTTTTATTATATATAATTATATATAAAGTTTGTATATTCTCTTTAAAATAGTCTCAAACAATACTATAATGTCAGCAGTGATCCATTCTAGGCTGTGGGGACATGGGGATACTGGTAGTTATAGTATTCATTATAATTTCTATATATTCTTAATTTTTAAATTTCTGACATTGGATTTTTTCATATGGCTTTTCAGAATCTATTGAAATGACCTTTGGATGAATTATACTAAAAACGTTTTAATAAATATTTTATTGTTAAATATGTTTTATTGGATTTTTTAATCAGGATTTTAACATTTATTATATTTAGTTTTGTGGTCTTTCCCAGATTATATGACCAAAAAATAGTTCTGTATTATTATTACTCTGCTCTTTAAAAACTTCCAGTGTTTTTTTTGCTTCCTGCAGAATAAAGTTAGGACTTTGAGATTAAATTAACATCTTTCTAAATTTGAGCCTGTTTTTATTGACCAATTGCATCTGAAGCTCTCAAGCACACAACCTTCTTTCTATCATAATTGATCTCACTTTCCCTAAATAGTCTTTCTTTTTTACTCCTTTGCATACGTTTAAAAATGCCAATAATGTGATTCTGTTTGTTAGCAATCTGTTACTATCCTTTCAAATTTATTTCCTATGTCATCTCCTCTATAATAATATATATCGTGTCATGTTGTGTGTATAATAACATTTACCTGGAAGAAGTAAGGATATGAAAATTAATAAATGATACATCAACATGTCCAGATGATCAAAAAAATAAGGTATAAGGATAGCTACTTACTTTCTGTATAAAGGAGTATGGTGAATGTGGAGATGTGCCACATAGATTTCCCTTCAAGGAAGGACCTGTTCCTCTAGATGCTGAGAGTGCTGTTAGAAGACACCCTAAAGCCCTTTTAGGTATTGCTTCACCTACAAAGAACTCCTGAGAACATGCCCTCCAGGAACCACCCACGTCCAATGACTAATCAAGTTGGAGGCAGAAAGGAGGCAAAGGATTGACCCAATGCAGAGTTACAACGATGGGCCCTTTCAGCTTTAAAGCTCTTCTTAGGGTCAGTTGAGGTTGTTAGACTTGCATTATAGCTGACTTCATCTTCTCAGTCTTGCCTCTCTCCTTTCCTTCCATAGATACTGATCCCACAGCCACTCCCAATAAAATTCTGAACACAGACTACAACCTCAGAGTCTGTTTCCTAGGGACTCTGAGTTAACTAGTTTGTTTACATGTGTGTTATAGCCCTTATCTCTTTGTGTTCTGTTTGTATACACATCTTGGCCTATGACTAGTTTGAGGGCAAGGATCATCTTTGTATTCCTAGCATCTAACACAGGATCAGTATTCTAGGCTTCAGTACGACATATATACATGCACCCACACACAAGTTAACTGAGCAAATTTACCAAATATAAATATTCTTTTTCTTTTCTTTTTTAATATATAATCTTTACAATATATTTCTCCCATTATCATTTAGCCTCCTTATACATCCCTCCCCCCAGCCACCACCACACTTCTGTCCATGTCCATGAGTCCTTTTTCCTTTTTGCTCGATCCCTCTACCCCTCCACCCCACGCTAGCTGTCATCTGTTCTCCATCTATGAGTCTGTCTCTGTTTTGCTTATTAGTTCAGTTTGTTCATTAGATTCCACATATGAGTGAAATCATATGGTATTTGTCTTTCTCTGACTGGCTTATTTCACTTAGCATAATGTTCTCCAGATTCATCCATACTGTCGCAAAGGGTAAAATTTTCTTCTTTTCTACCGCCAAGTAGAATTCCATTATGTAAATGCCCCATAGTTGTTTTATCCACTTATCTATTGATGGACATTTGGGCAGCTTTAATATCTTGGCAATTTTGTAAATAATGCTGCAATGAACATAGGGGTACTTATGTTCTTTTGAACTAGTGTTTTGGGTTCCTTCAGATATATTTCCAGAAGCAGGATTGCTGGGTTAAAAGGCAGATCCATTTTTAATTTTCTGATGTATCTCCATACTGCTTTCCACAGTGGCCACCCCAGTCTGCATTTCTACCAAGAGTGCAAAGGGGTTCCCCTTTCTCCACATCCTCCCCAGCACTTGTTTGTTGATTTACCATTCTGACCAATCTGAGATGGTATCTCATTGTGGTTTTTATTTGCATTTCTCTGATATTTAGTGATGTTGAGCATCTTTTCATATGTCTATTGTGTATCTGCACGTCCTCCATGGAGAAGTGTCCATTCAGGTCATTTGCCCATTTTTTAATTGGGTTGTTTGTTTTTTGGTTTTGAATTTTGTAAGTACTTTATAAATTTTGATATTAACCCCTTACCAGATGTATTGGTGAATATGTTCTCCCATTCTGTGGGTTGTCTTGTTATTTTGTTGACATTTTCCTTTGCTGTGTGAAAACGTTTTAGTTTGATGAAGTTCCATTTGTTTATTTTTTTTCTTTTGTTTCCCTTACTTGGGGAGATGTATCTGACAAAAGTTTCTACAAGCAATGTCTGAGATTTTGCTGCCTGTTTTCTTCTAGGATTTTTAAGGTATCAGGTCTAACATTTAAGTCTTTGATCCATTTTGAATTTGTACTTGTGTGTGGTGTAGGAAGGTGGTGTAATTTAATTTTTCTGCACATATCTGTCCAATTTTCCCAAAACTGTTTATTGAATAAACTATCTTTAGCCCATTGTATGTGCTTGCCACCTGAAAATTCTTTAATTTAGAATTTTAAAGGTTTTTATTTTAAATGTTTTCCAGCTTTCAGATGAGACGGAGACAAAGAAGAATATAGAGGTATTTAATATTTCTGTTTTATAAGATTATATATCAAAGTACTATGTGGAAGTAAAGGAATGTTTATAATAACATAGATGTAACTATAAATAGAGATAATGACCCTAGGAGAAAGAGAGAGTTGGGAACAGGAGTAGAAGTTTTCTTTTTCTGCCTAGTCTATTTTCTTATGTGTAGCCTCACTAAAATCCTCGATCATTTGAGTTGTGCCAAATTAGTTCTGAAATATAACTTTGTTTTGCTTTTGGATTTACCACATTGGATATGCCACGGCTCCTAATTTCAGAGAAGCAGCTAATACAAACGATTTTTCTTAGGTGGGATAAGTACTTTATTTTAATAAAAGGAAAAAAAATAATTAACCAGTGATAGCTAACTATTTATCTGTCTTCTGTAGTCACATGGGACTGCTAAACTGCAAAGAGTAAAGTAATTACTGTTATGTGAAATGTCTTTCTAGGCTTGCAACTTCTCAGAATTCAAAACAAATGAGCTTACTCAACTACCCAGACAATTGGATGCTGGACGAATTTTTCTTTTTATTTTAAAAGCCCATAACTTTGATGTATGTAAGTTTTTATTTATTGTGTGATAAATTTTGAGGATATGGTTTAATGAATCAGAGCTTTATTTAAATATCTGACAAATTAGGTGTTTAAGCAAGATTTGATGCTTTGGGTATTAAGTCTGGCATGAAAGACCAGTGATGTTTTACACTCTGTTCACTAGAAGTGAATGTGTTAGACTCTGTGTTTCTACCTCAGGAGTCTGAGGTTGCTTGTGTGCATTGGCTTGGCATGCAAGCATAGCAGGTATTTCCCCCTCCCTCTTCCTGCTCGTATCAGCTCAGGATATTTTAGCCTGCTCATTTTGACTTCAAAATAACTATGAGAGCTCTTCCCCACGACTCCACCCTTTGAGTATCCAAGAGTATAGAGAATTTTTTAGTAGTATCCCTACAGGGTAACTAATTGATGAAAAAATACAGGCATAGTAAGATAACTAGATCATTGGCCATTGATCTAGTAGGTTGAAGGTTGGCTGGTTATTTGCCTTGATTCCCTACCCACTTAAATTTTAGATAGTTACCTAATATGGTTTCTATTTCCTGGAAGCTTAAACAATGTTCCTTGTGCCCCCTGGGCAGATTTTTTTCAGACATTTCTCTGAGATGGACTTGGCCCCCAGTAGGCCCTCTTCCCCATCCATCACCTCCAGGCTTAGGGTGGCTCTTTATTTTTCAACACAGAATCCATGTTGTTTTCTCTTCTACGGTAGTCCTTGATATGTCATCAGAAGGAGCATTATCAACCATTAAACCTGAATGAATCTGTTGCAGCAATTATTTCCTGCCCTTTTTATACTCTCTTCAAAATGAAGGAGAGTACATCTATTCAGTGCTCTGTCTTCAATATCCATTGTTCCAAGAAATAGTGTTATTGACCTATTTGGATCTCCTGTTTGCCCCTCAGAAACCCACAAGGCATCTCAATTTATAACTCCTTCTAGAATGGTTCAATAATGACACTCTCTCTTATTTTCCATGCTAATAGAAATGTTTTTCAATTCTCTTATATATTTTATGGGATTTTGATGAGAAGCAAGGTTTAGCCTGTCCTCTTAATCCAATCACTTCATCCCATTATTTTTTAGAGAAAAACTATGGATGCTAATTATAGTTATGCCTGGGCATACTTATTCCTTTCCCTAACTATATTTTCCAAATTATCTCGGGAAAAATTTTTATTGTTATTAAAAGAAATTAATACATTGTTGAGATAAATAATTTTATGTATGTTGTTCTAGATCATCTATAATATTCTTTCTAACCCTAACATTCTGTGTTCTAAGATGGGACAGAATTTAAACATAGATGCATATATACCTACCACAAATCACAAGGCAATCATGTAAACATGACGTAGAAGTTACAGCTGTAAGGAATTTTTAGTATGGTTAACTTGGAAGTTGCTGGCATAATTCAAAGAAATAGGAAAGTGAGGAGTGGATGTAGATATGGGCATTGAGGCTGGAAGGTGCGCAGTGGGATAAATATGACCAGGAGCTGGGTGTAGATATTATGAGTTTGTATATCAAAGTCATATCAAGGCATATATACCCAGTATTTTCTTTATTAATACCCCTACCTGATTACAAAAACAAATTTAAATTGGCTTACTAGGGCACATGCAATGCAATGGCATTAAAATAAATAGATGATGAAATTAGAGTGAAGAGAAAATAAGCATAGGAAAATAAAAAATAACAGAGGAAAGTTTATTTCATAGAAATGTTTACACTACAGAGCAACAATAATCAAAACAGCATGGCACTGGCAGAAAAACAGACACAGAGACCAGTGGAAGAGAACTGAGAGACCAGAAATAAAACCACATGTATATGGGCAAATAATTTTTGACAAAGGAGCCAAAAACACACAATGAAGAAAAGAAAGCCTCTTCAATAAGTGGTGCTAGGAAAATTGGAAAGCCACATGCAAAATAATGAAACTAGACTACAGTTTGTCTGCATGTACAAAAATTAATTCAAAATAGATCAAAGACATAAATATAAGATCTGAAACAATAAATTACATAGAAAAAACATAGCTACTAAACTCACGGACCTTGGTCTGAGAGAAGATTTTATGAATTTGACCCCAAAGGCAAGGAAAGTGAAGGCAAAAATAAATGAATGGGACTACATCAAACTAAAAAGCTTTGCACAGCAAAAGAAACCACCAACAAAACAAAAAGGCAGCCAACCAAGTGGGAGATGATATTTACAAACAACAGTTCTGACAGGGGTTAACAGCCAAAATAGATAAAGAACTCATACAATTCAATACCAAACAAACAAATAATCCAATTAAAAATGGGCAGAGGACCTGAATTAACAGTTCTCCCAAGAAGACTTATAAATGGCCAACAGATATATGAAAAGATAATCAACTTCACTAGCTTTTAGAAAAATGAAAATCAAAACTACAATGAGATACCACCTCACACCTGTTAGAATGGCTATTAATAACAGGACAAGTAATAGCAAGTGTTGGAGAAGTGGAGAAAAAGGAACTCTCATTCACTGCTATTAGATATGTAAACTGGTACAGCCACTATAGAAAACAGTAGTGAGGTTCCTCAAAAAATTAAGAATAGAGTTACCATGTGACCCAAGAATCCCTCTTGTGGTTATCTACTTGAAAAACTTTTATTCACAAAGATATATGCACCCCATGTTCATTGCAGCAGCATTCGCAGTGGCCAAGACATGGAAACGACCAAAGTGTCCTGTCACAGATGATTGGGTAAAGATATGGTATATATATACTATGAAATACTACTTAGCCATAAGGAAAGATGAAATACTTCCATTTGTGATAACATTGATGGACCTAGAGAATATCATGCTAAGTGAAATAAGTCAGAAAAAGCTAGGAACCATATGATTTCACTTATACATGGGATATAAAACTAAAGCACATAGACACAGACAACAGTATGGTAGTTACCAGAAGGAAACGGGGTGGAGGGGGTAGTAAAGGGTAAAGGGAACCGCAGACATGGTGACGGAAGATAATCTGACTACGGGTGGTGGACACACAATGCACTATAGAAATCAACACTTGAAATCTCTATAATCTTATTAACCCATGTCATCACAATAAATTTAATATAAAAAAGAAAACAGCAAAGAAGAAATGCCTGCAATAACTTAAAATGATTGAACTTATGGATCTAAAACATAGAAAGCGAAGGTTAAAGGGCTACTGTTATATGCTTGAAGATGTGGAAATCCATTGAAATGATTGAATTTCCCTAACTCCATCCAAACACATTCCTGCACACACAGTCACAGACTAAATTTCTTGAGTGAAAGTGTATATTATCTCCTGTTCCATGCAGAACACAATGTTGGGTAGAGATAATAGTAAAAATTGTATTAAATTGAATTTAAGTGAAAAAGGGTCTATGTTACAGATATAAGGAGAAAGCTGAGCCACAAGCATGCTTACAAACACAAATAAAGAATATTAGAAGTAATTTTGTTCAACTTAGAGTCAATATTAGGAGAAAAAGTTTCAAGTCAGATAATCTATAGGTTTTAAGGTATATTTACATTTACTTGAACCACAAAGTATCACAAAGTTAGAAGGAGGAACAGGAAGAAGAGAACATTTAAATTGTTAAGCTGAGTTTGGGTTTGTTTTTTTTTTCCAATTTTCATTTTTTGGTTGTTTTGACTATTGAAATATTTTAAAGAATTTTGAGTTTCTTGAAAAGAGGAAGTTAGTGATACCAAACATAACCATGAATAAAAATAAAAGCAATCATGTAGTTACTTTATGCTAAAAAGCATCTTTGCTTGAATTTGCAAATAATATAAGAAAAAGTATTCAGCTTTCCCCCCGTATTCCAATTTTCTACTTTTTCCTTTATGTATTTTACATACATTCTTTGTAATTAAGAAGTACTAAATTTAAGATGATGCTGTTACCAATGTGAGTGGCCTATGAAAGGGAAATGCCCCACAGAATGTGTGATAAATAATCTGCTTGGTATAAAAGTTTGCACAATGTGTGTTTTTGTAGACTTGTACTTGAGGAACAAGAATTTATACCTATGTATTTCATTTTTAAAAATCTTGTACTCTACTGAATCTAGCATTTAAAAACTTTTAGCTGAATAAGATAAAATGATCTATTGAATATGACTGTTTAAACCAAGATTTATAGTCTGTAGTAGTCATAGTAAAAAGATTTAACCTCGTGTGCCAAGTTTGATCAATTGCTTTAAGAGAACACTATGTTTAGATAAGGCCTAGAGTTATAATGGGGTTTATTGAGGTAGAATTCCATGATTGTTGATATCTGTCTTCAATGTAAAAGGGAAATTGTAACATACCTTGGATTTTTGCTATTCTTGTTCTACCCTACGCTGTCATCGTTTCCATAGGTCCTAACCAAGTGTGATTATTGAGTGAGCATATGAAATGTGGCTAATATGATGAAGTTGAATTTTTCCATTTTATTTATTTTAATTTATATATAAATTCAAAAACTGATACTTGATTCATTTATCAAAAAACTTTTGATTATGATTAAAACAAAATTTAAACCATGTATTTTATTAAGTCTAAATAGTGACCTAGTATTTATGATGCAACTTTAGTGTTCAAATTGAGATGGGCTATATGTGTAAATTATATGATATATTTCAAAGGCCTAGTACCTGAAAAGAATGTAAATTATTTAATTAATAATTTTTGTAATTATATGATAATACAATGATAGTTTAAATATATTTGGTTAAATAAATACCATTAAAATTAATTTCACCTTTTACTTTTTTAAAAAATATTTTACTTACTTAATTTTTTAGACAGAAGGGGAAGGGAGGGCGAAAGAGAGGAAAACATCAAAGTGTGGTTGCCTCTCTTTTGCCCCTCCCTGGGGACCTGGCCTGCAACCCAGGCATGTGGCCTGACTGGGAATCGAGCCGCGACTCTTTGGTTTGCAGGCCGGCGCTCAGTCCACTGAGCCACACCAGCCGGAGCTCACCTTTTATTTTTTAAAGTGGCTACTAGGAAATTTAATATCGCACATGTGGCTCCACATTAAATTTTATTGAACAGTGCTAGTCTATAACCATTGAACGCATACTCTTTACAAACCCTATTTACATTAACATGTTTTATAATGCATTTTAATTTGATCCCCATTTGTCTTTTTTTTCTTTCATAGGAAAAAGTTCTTAAAATCTGGAGGACTCATTTTCTCTCAGAAGCCTCTATTGCTCTTTTGCATGATTGCTTTTGGTGGTGGTTTCTCCATAAATTTAAGGTATAATGGTTTTTTTAAACTTCTTTTTTAGGTTGATTTGCCACTAATTTATTTTTTCCATAGAGGTAGCACTGGCACAAAAAGTGTTTTCCTGGATCCTTTCACAGAGCTTGGTTTTTTAGTATTCCATAACTATTAGAAATCCTATTTGAAATCTAGCATCCTTTCAGAGAATTAATACTTTAAAGGATTAAAGATTCTTGGATTTCAAAGCCTGGGTCTTCATTTAATCAGATAAAGATTAGTGAAATCAAACATTGTAGTAAATGAGAAAGTATATCATTTACTTTAAAATAATGCCTTTATTCCATACTATAATGCGCTGGTAAACACTAAACACAAAACACACTGCAAATCAGTGACATTGAGGTAGGTTTTCATTAGGAAAACAGCCTATAGATTAGATGGAGAGAAGGTCCTCACTTAATTTATAAAGGTTAAGACTCTGATTAGGATTAATAAAAGAAAGATGTGGGTATCTAGGAAACAATAAGAGAATTGAAATAAGCAGCACATAAATCTCACATTAGAAAATATGTGAGCCTAGAAAAAAAATGGTGAATATAAATGACTGCTGTGTAGCCTCTGGATCTGGAAAAATGGAAAATAGAGCATCCCAGGGGTCACAGTCTAAACATTAGGAAGGCTTGCCACCCCAGCAAGGAAGCCTGCAAATGAACTCAACTCTCACGTTTTCCTACCTCAAATTACCCACAGAAGACTGCATATGAATCCTCACAGAAATTCCATACCATAAAGAAATGGGTGTTGCCTATTTTACATACAAACTATTCAGTCAATGTTTGAATCTAATTCTAGATAAGAGTATTTCTGATATTGTTTGGAGCTTGATGAGGCATACAAACTGACATATTAATTCTACAAAGGTAATTACTTAGGGAAATTTGTGAAATCAGGAGAGTTCCATTATCTTAAATTTCTTTTTCTAGATCTGGATCCCGAGTTTACGTGTTGCCATGATAACAGAGAGAAAACTTACTTTCCCACTGAACCTGTTTGGCTTATATATAACAAGTTTTTGAAGAAACAGGCTAGCAAAGTTCCTAGAAATTGTTTTGTCAGACCATAATAGTATTTTATTATTCTGGACAAAATATAGATTTCATGCAAAAATATTAACATCCCACTACTTTTATAAGATTATTCTTAGAATATCAAGGAACTAGATTTTTAAAATTTATCTTTAAACTATTCTCTAGCAATTACTGGCTTGCTGAAATTAAAATGTAATGATTTTAAAATATTATAATTTGATAAAATTTTCAATATCATTTATTATTTTTGATGTACTTAAGGAGAAATATATGATTCAGCTGAATCAGTGTACTGCTAGTATTCTAGGGGGTCAACTGGGGATCCAGATCAAATTAAAGCAAATTTTCCGTGATTTAACCAGAACAGCTCTTCATTCATCTTTTAAAAATTATTAAAGTAACTTCATTTAAAGGCAGCTTAGGAAATTAGTGTGCAGAGATGTCAGGACCTGTGGACACCAATTATATACTTAATAAATCTTGGACACTACGGCAAAACAACATATTATGAATATTGTGGACCTGTATATGTTTGTTTTTTAATCTTCCTCCTCCTGAATATGGCAGCTTAAACATTCAAGAAATGTAACAGAAAACAATGCCTGTGATATAAGATTAAGCAAAAGCCACACATTCCATTTTCTCTTTATCCAATTTGGCTGAGGAACACTGGAAATCTTATAAGCCAGTCGATGCCCACTTTTCCATGCTCTTCCTGGGCTGAGCTTGAGGCAGCAACTGGCTCCAGGACTGGTTGGAAGGTCTTGTAAGGCAAGGCTGATTATGTGGCAACCACTGCTTCCTTAGTGACACATGATGTATCATGTCTACATGGTGGACCACTGGGCAGCTGGTCTCTGTGGGTGTTTTAACACTTGTTCTGTAGTGTACCCTTGATGTGGGTCCATATGTAGCATATAGAAAGCAAATCCTTCGTTCTGTCTGAAATATTGTTCTAGTTTCTATTACTCAAAGAGAACTTTCCATTGCCTGTATGCAGCAGTATCTCTCCAGGAGTATCATTTGACACCATCAGCGAACAGACTGTAGCCAGCCAACATTGTATAAAAAAGGACTCCCAGATTCCAAACATCACAAACAGCATCTTAACCCTGTTGCATGAAGAACCTCAGGTGCTGCAAAGTTTGCAGTGTAGCGTGGAATTAAGAGTCCATTTTCTCCTCAAAGTTGTTTGCAAACCCCAAATCACAGATCCTGATTAAATCCACATTGGCTGATTCATCCATGTATAAAATATTCCTAGGTTTAAGATCACAATGAACAACTCCTTGACAATGAAGATAGTCAACTGTCTTTGTTATTACAAACAGTACATCACTAGCTTCCTGCTCTGCAAGGCATTGTTGTTGGAGAATACAGTCAAGGAGCTCTACTCCTTTCTTCCAATCCACAACAAGATAAACATACCTATCATCATAAACGTCCTTTAAAATGATAATGTTTGGATGTTGTCCATAGCACTTCCAAATTTCAATTTCTCCTGAGGGGGCTTTGTTATTTTTATCAATGATCTTCACTGCAAATTCCATGTTGGTAACTGCATGTATGCATTGCTTACAAATTGAATAGGAACCAACACATACCTTCTATCAGTTCACATGCTTACTATTCATGGTCTCACTTCTGTCTTTATCCTGAAGTAGCAGTGTACCAGTAAGTGTTCCAAACATAAGTACACCACATGACCACCAATCAGCATTCTGGAAATGACCTCTCCTATTTACTATTTCAGGAGCCACATACTGCACTGTACCACAAAATGAATATGTCTGCCTTTCTTGATCTATTGATTCTCTGCTGAGTCCAAAATCTGTTACCTTTGTATGTCCTAGTTCATCAAGCAAAATGTTTTCTGGCTTCACATCTCTGTACACAATTCCTAATTAGAGCAGATGATCCAAAGCAAGGGCTAGTTCTGCAAGGCAGAATTTCATGTCTCCTGCTGTAGACGGAAGGTTTTTGAATAATCCTGTGAAGACACCTCCTCCCTTGAGAAAATCCAATATTAAATACAGCTTCCTTCAGTCTGAAATCATAATGCAATTTGACAATAAATGGATGATTTACTTCCATCAGTATATCCCTCTCCGTCTTTGTCCAAATTCTGTCTCAAACTTTTAAAGTGGCTTTCTTTAACACCTTGATGGCATACAGCTGCCCAGCATCAAGGTTAGTCTTCTTTTTAACAAGAAAATCCTTTCTAAAGGGCCCCTGACCAAAAACCTTAAGCAACTCAAACTGTACAGAGTCTGCTTTCTCATACCCTTCCTTTAAGTAATAAGTAATAGAAATTTCTTTAACAACTCCTTCATCTTGCAAGAATCTGTTTCTCCCTCTTCCATTGGTTCATTCACCATATGAAGGTGATTTCCCTGTGTGGTGCCTGGAGCCCCCGACAGCGGGAGCACAGCAGAGTCACCTGGGACATCAGTGGAGTTCCCCCAGCCTGGGGGGAGGGGGTGTGGGAAGGAGGGCCTGGAGAGATTCGGAGGACCACCTGGTAGGGGATGGAATAGAGGCAAGGGAGGCATGCTGGGCAGAAGAGGCGGGAGAGCTTATCGGTTTTGTTCATTGCATTTAATCTATGAATTTATTTTTTAGAGGGTTTATTGTTAAAATATGTATATATATATATATATATATATATATATATATATATATATAGGATCCAGTGAAATAGATAAATAACATGACCTCTGAGGCTCCTAAATCCACCAAATAAATGTGGTGGTGAGACACCCACACATTTTTACCAGCATATGCTATAAATAGAGCCACTCCTTGAATAGTTCAGTTTTGTTAGGTAAATTTCTATGTCAAACTGTAGTACATTTTCAGATGAACACAAAATATAAATTCTATCTACTTCTTGTCCCAATTGGTGAAAAATAAGTAATTCTGATTTTATAACTGGAATAAAATAAAACCCTGAGTCACATATAATTCAATTACCAATAATATAATGTTAAAAAAATATAATCATTCTACAATATAGCATGCTTCAGCAGGCTTACTCTAAACCTTATCTCAGTAATTGTTACATGATTTATATAGCAGAAAATTTTCCTTATGTATCGCCTGTGATTTAGTGGTAGCTTGCTAATAGAAAAACATACTGAACTCATTGAACTCAGAAAACTGAAATTTACATCTGTTTTTCCCAGTAGTTAGTGTGAGACCTTAGGCTATTATATAAAAACTTTCTGGCTTCTGTTATCTCATTTCTAAAAAACAAAACAAAAAAACAAGTATAAAACAACATACACCCTGCTCTTTTCCTAGGGTTGTTGTGTACTGAAAATGACATGAATAAGAAGATACATAGTAGACTGTCAATATAATAGATCTAAGAGATCTGGCTTTCAAACGCAATTTTATGCACTTAGTAAATGATGTGTGTGATCTTCAATAGTTATTTGCCTTTCTAAGTTATTCATAAAGTTTAAAAAATTACCTATCTTATGGTTGTTGGGGGAGTTAAATGAGAAAATGTATGTAAAGTTGTTTGTTTACATGGAATTAGGTATAGAGTAAGTGTGCAATAGATATATCTATCATCATTTATTATTATTAATTATTGTATTAATGGACAGAACACAGTGTTCTCAAACTCTTCCAAAAAAGCTGAAGGGGGGGAACACTTCCTAACACTTCCTATGAAGCCAGCAATACTCTGATACCAAAGCCAAAGGTACTACAAGAAACAAACAAAAAAAACATGATAGACCAATGTTCTCTTTGGTGAGTACTGATGCAAAAATCTTCAACAAAATACTAACAAACCAAATTCAGCAGCATATTAAAAAGATTACTCTTTGTCCAGTGGGATTTATTCTTAGAATGCAAGTATAACTTAACATATTAAATAGCTTGATCTAATGAATATGTCAGTAACCTGAATACCCCAAACAGCTATACGATACTCTTGCTTCCCAAGCATACCATAACATTTACCCCCTCGAAAAGTGATCATACCATTTTTCTACTGGCTTCTGTGGAGGTAAATATGGCAGGGATGCTAGGTTGAATTGTATTACTCAAAGACATTCTTGGAAGTTTCTGTTTGGGTAAATTTCTCCATACATGTTAAGTGTAGATTGTGTATTTAAAACATACTAACTTCCCTGGCTGGTGTGGTTCAGTGGATTGAGTGCCAGCCTGCAAACTGAGAGGTCATGGGTTCAATTCCCAGTCAGGGTACATGCCTGGGTTGCAGGCCAGGTCCTCAGTTGAGGACAAGAGAGACTCTAGCACAATGATGTCTCTCTCCCTCTTTTTCTCCCTCCCTTTCCATCTCTCTAAAAGTAAATAAATAAAATCTTCTAAAAAATGCTAACTTTTTTGACTGGTAAATTACATGTAATCTCATTTAATTCTCCCAGAACTCTGTATCTTAGAACCACTGCCTGTTACATAAATGATCAAGAATTGTTATTAATATTATCATTATTACTTTTGCTATAATTTCCTTCCATAAATTTATTATACAAGTATGAGAGCTGTATTGGAAGTTAGGAGACCTAGTTTCTAGTCTGGCTCTTGATTACTTAACTGTATAACCTTAAATAATTATCTTAATCTTTCTGAGCACCAGTGCAATCACTAAAACAGAGGAACTTAATGTAGTGATAACTTACTTCCATATTAGGCTAATAGACTGTGCATTTATAAATCCCAGCTCATTTGGTTTGCTAATTTTATAGAAGACTACCAATAACTTTAAAAAGTTTTGGTGTTTATTACCATAATCTATTAATGCCAGGTTGCTCCTACAATTGACATCATAAAAGAATATGGATTCTTTAAAGTGTCTCTATTGCTTAATTCACAGATTTGAACTCTAATTCATCTCTTAATTGCTTAATAAAGGGTGCTACATTAGGCTTTACCATAATATTGCCATTATTATCTGTAGATTTCCTTCTTTCAATATACTTACTTTGTTTTCAGTTTAGCTATCATGTCACAATTTTACTAGTTCTGGCTATGACTGTTTCATCCCAGTAATTACTTTAATTTCATGCTGAGTTACTGGTAATGAAAGAATTGGAATGGTTATAGAGTAATAGAAGGTAGCTGAGTCATTGATGGCCTTCTGCATGCCAACTGCTATGAAAGACTTTCATTAATTCATCAAGCATCTGTATGTCAGACACTGTGCTGAAGGCTTGAAATACCCATAGCTCACATAAAATATTATCCTTGTTCTTACTTAATTTTAAGATACTACTTTAAGATATGTATATATTATCAACAATTGGCAGATGAGGAAACTAAGACTTGCTAAAGGTAATGCAGCTTATAACAGCCCGCATTCAAATTCTAGTCTGCATGATGCTGAAACCCATGCTCATTCCACTATAGCAACCTATCTGCTCTTTAAGAATAGATAAAATTACTGCTATTATGCAAACAAATTCCAATTTTAAATTGTAATATAATGATTTTATTCCATACATCTTTTATTTTTTAAGCCTGACAAAGAAAACCAAGATTTATTGTTTGATAGAATTTCAGAAAGTTATGTGACACTTTTCATGTGCATACCTCTAAGACGAAAGGATGCATTCTTTCAGGTAAACATAGAAATTAACTATTATGCTAATTATTTTTGGAGCTAATGAAATAGAAAAATCGTTATTTTATTTATGTCCCTCACTCCAGAATGTTTTATTCCCTTGACTAAAAAGTCTTATAGAATCTCCTTTGTGTGATAGAGATATTTTGTTTGCATGGTAATAATTTGAAAACTGCTGACTTATTCTATGCATATTCTTGGGTTTTTTTATATTTATATACAAAGTTATTTATCAATTTCTTTTTTGTACAAAGTATCTTTTTATTCAAAAGGACTCGAAAGTGTATGTTATGCCTAAGGACTAAGTACCTGCTATAGTAAAGAACAATGGACAAATTTATGAATCAAATTTTTGTTTTACTTTCCTGGTATATTAGCTAATGAGTAGGGTTGATTAAAATAATTCTTTGTTCTTGAGTAATATTAAATGAAGATGGTTGGAATCTTATTGGGTATTTTTAAATTTAAACATCTAGTATTTCAAAGCAAAAGCCACATTCACATGCTTCATTGTGTTAACATCTAAAAATCAGAAATACAGAAGTATTTTGGAGTAAATAAATTTTTTTTTCCATGGGTAAAATAAACCTAAAATAAAAATACTTAAATGACCTTTGTAAGCAAACCTAAATTGCCAAATATTTGTGTTCTATCTTTACCTGTCTTATTCACAGACATTTACATACTGTAGGACAGAAGGAAACTAGTAGTGGAATGAGACTTGGCTTCCTGTCGGAATCTGCTAATTACCTGGGGAATCTTGTTAAGACATTCAGTCTCTCAGTTTCACAGCTGATTGTCTGTCAGATAAAGAGGATGTCCAGATCCATCATTCAAAAATTATTAATTTGTAGATCAATGTTGCTCTCAAAGATAGGCTAGAATTTTCTCTGTTAATATTGAATTTTTGTTATTTACAGGAAAAAGTTAGCAAATGGTTAGGATTTGGGGTAATTAAGTTGTCTAAAGGTGATAATCTTTCTTTGCTTGAGAACCAGGCCACCTCCTTACATGTTTATACCCTGGAGAGCTATTTCACTGAAAGTGGAACCTCATCCTTCATTAACCAATTTCCATTATTTTTAACTCATTCAGATAAGTGGGGGTTTTGTTACTATTGGCTCACCTGATTTATCTTACCTAATTAAAATAAATTTATTAATATTTAGAATCAAACCATTATTTTCAGGTCTCATTATTTAGTACAAATTAACTGAACCTAAACATATTTAGTGTGGCTTTTACTTCTCTCTCTTCTGATGTCATACACTGATAATCCTTTAGAAATTTTCCCCAAACAATTTGACACTTGATCTCTTTTTCCCTTAATCTCCTGAAGGTAAAGTGCTTACAGAAAGCTTAGAGGTTTCCCTTTTTCACCTTGTTCAACATTTTAATTTGAAGCATTAGTATGGTTTTATGGACCACAAATAATATATGTGATTGTTTCTGATAGTAAAATATTCACAGTTCATTCAGTAAAATTAACTATACCAATATATTAAAGTGTTCTCCCATCTCCTCCCTGATCCCCTCCTAAAGTAACTATCAAGTTCTTCAAAGAATACGATCACTTATTAGCAAACATGAGCAGTACTGGATTCAGTGACTATGTTAGTTTCCCATTACCACAATAACAAATTATCACAAACTTAGTGGCTTAAAACAATAGAAATTGTCATACATTTAGACCAGAAGTCCAAATTGAGTTTAAAGAGCTCAAATCAAGGTATCAACAGGCTAGTTTTTTAAGAGACCCCAAAGGATAAGCCTTTTCCAGCTTCTGGTAACTTCTAACATTCCTTGGCTTCTGGTCACATCACTCCAGTCTCTGCTCCTGCCATCACATTGCCTTCTCCTCTTCTATAGTATAATAAATTTTTCCTTAGCCTCCTTCTTGAAAGGACACTTGTGATTACATTTAAGGCCCATTGGATAATTCCAAGATACCGCCCCATCTCAAGACCCTTAATTAATGATATCTGCAAAGCCCTTTTGCTGTATAAATTAACATTGCACAGGTTCCAAAGATTAAGAGAGTGACCCGTACAGGACTTGCTTTATTTGAAAATTTTACATTATTAAGGGCTAAATGTGTGATTGTAAATGCTTACCTGAATGCAGAGCACCAAAATAGTAAATAATTCTTTAAACCTTTAATATAAAAATGTTGATTAAGAGAAATTTAGTAATTTATGGATTTTACTAATAGAATTCAGGTACAACCATATATTTCTTGATAACAGACCATGGTTTTAATAAGTAAATAATACAATAGTGATTATAATATATGAATTCATTTCAATTACTTAAAAATATGCTTTTTATTCTCTGATAATTTTGTATCATAACAAAAGTGTTAGCTACAGCTATGGTGATAACCATTTTGTAATAGATAAATGTATTAAATCAAGACATCATACACATTAACTGTACACAATGTTATATGTCAATTATATTCATATATACTTTTTGTTTGAATGACCTATATACAGCACTTTATAGAAGAGGGTAACAATAGCAAGGTTATATGAAGTTAGTATTTATTCATCACACCTTATCTTAATTGTTAACTTCATCCTTTATCCAAATTAAACAAATTTTCCCCAAATGCTATCAATTAGTCAAAATGACTGACCTTATTTTTAACTCTTCTTTATGTTCCTCAGTTAGATGTACAAAGAGATAATAAATGGCCAAAAGCAAGCTACTACCAACAAAAGGACATGTATATTTCATAAACTTAATAATAATTACTTTGGTAGTTGAGATATGTTATATGAAATATTAAATTATTCTAATACAACTATTTCTGGTAGGTGTACCCTGATTGTTTGGCACAAGCTATCTATGCAACATTCCATGAAGCATTTCCAGAATCCAGTGATCTCTTTAATGATGTATTTAAGGAAGAACTGGGGAATAACATTTCTCTTTGGTTGTCAGGTATGGCTATGTCATTTACATATTGATCATTATTTTGGTACCTAAAACTTTTGGATTTTGCTTTGTCCAGCCAAAAAAAAATCGGTAGTCTTTTGCCTTACAAAACTTTCTATGTTTTTAAATAATAATAATTCTTTTGAAAATTTTATAACACCAAAGTTAATCAATTATTGACTTTAAAAGTTCAATAATTTTATAAGCAGTGAAATTATTACAGACAACTGAATTGCTACAGAAATAAATCATTCCATATACACTTTATATTTGGAAGATAAAATTTTAAGCTGCTTTTGCAAATAATATTTATAACAATAGTATTGGGTAAATTCTAGAGCTAATTGAGTTCCTCATAAAACATACAATCATTTATCAAAGAAACTTGTTTTTTAAATCTTGACGTGCTTGTAGGTATAAGTGGTAGGACTGAAAGGCCAAAAGGAAGTAAAATTCTATTCTAGAGTATTTAGCTGGATATTTAAGTACTTGGGTTTAAAACTAAGGTATAGCTACAAATTCTGGGAATGGCCTCTCCAACATTTTTGTCACAGGCTTTTCTACTATTACAGAAGACCAGAAGCTATTGACAATTTTCTTAAGATTTTATTTATTTATTCATTTATTTTTTTAGAGAGATGGGAAGGAAGGGAGAAAGAGAGGGAGAGAAAGATCAGTGTGAGAGAAAAACATCAGTCAGTTGCCTCTCAAACATGCCCCAAGCCCACAACCCAAGCATTGGACCGGCAACCTTTTTCTTTATGGGATGACACCAAACCTATTGAGCCACACTGGGCAGGGCTATTGACAGTTTTCAGGTAGTGTTTCTTATCAATCTTTTTGTTCAAATCTTGATTGATTTTTAAAACTGTTTTGTGTCTCTTTAGTAATCAAAACTTTTCTTTTTTTCTTTTTATTCTTGTTTATTTTATTACAGTTGTCCCAATTTTTCTCCTTTGCCCTCCTCCGCCCAGCCAGCCCCTCCTCCCACAGTCAATACCCACACTATTGTTCATGTCCATGGGTCATTCATACGTGTTTTTTTGACTAGTTCCTTCCCTTCTTTCCACCATTATCTTCCTCCCCTGTCCCCTCTGTCCACTGTCAATCTGTTCCATGTTTCCATGTCTCTGGTTCTATTTTGCTCATTAATTTATTTTGTCCATTAGGTTCCTCTTACAAGTGAGATGATATGGTATTTTTCTTTCACTGACTGGCTTATTTCACTTAGCATAATATTCTCCAGCTCCATCCAAGCTTTTGCAATAGGTAGGAGTTCCTTCTTTCTTTCTGGTGCACAGTATTCCATTGTGTAAATGTACCACAGTTTTTTGATCTGCTCATCTAGTCATGGGCACTTTGGCTGAGAGTTCTAGCCACAGTGATCAGACAAGAAAAATAAATAAAAAACATCCAAATTGGGAAGGAGGAAGTAGAACTGTTATTACTTGCAGATGACATGATAGCGTACATAGAAAACTCTGTAGACTCCATCAAAAAACTACTCGTTCTAATAAGTGATTTTAGATAAAGTAGCAGGATATAAAGTCGATATTCAGAAATTGATGGCATTTTTGTACACCAACAATGAACTATCAGAAAGAGAAACTAGGGAATATATCCCATTTATTATAGCAACAAGAAAAATAAAGTATCTAGTAAAAAATTAACCAAGGAGGTAAAAGACCTCTACTTGGAAAACTATAGGACACTGAAGAAAGAAACTAAAGAAGAGACAAATAAATGGAAACATCTCATATGCCCTGTTCATGGATTGGAAGAATTAACATCATTAAAATGTCCATTCTACCCAAAGTAATCTATAGATTCAGTGCAATCCCTATTAAAATACCCATGGCATATTTCACTGATCTACAACAAATATTTCAAAAATTTATATGGAACCAAAAAAGGCCCCGAATAGCCTCAGCAATCTTGAGAAAGAAGAGCAAAGTAGGAGATATCACAATACCTGGATATCAAACTATACTACAAGGCCACTGTAATCAAACCTTTTCTATAAGAATGTGTTTCAAATTTAAGGAGGGAGAAACATCACATATTTCTATATATTGATTTTGTATCCTGTAACTTTACTGAATTCATTTGTTAGTACTAACAGTTCCAGGGGAGTCTGTAGGGTTTTCTGTATACAAATATAGTATAGTATGATAGTATCATACCATTAGCAAATATTTTTCCTTCTTTTTCTTGTGTAATTTCTCTGTCTAGGACTCCCAATACTATGTTAAATAAAAGTGGTGACAGTGAGTATCCAGCTCGTGTTCCTGATCTTAAAGTAAAAGCTTTCAACTTTTCATTGTTAAGTATGATGTTAGCTCTGTGTTTGTCCTATATGGTCCTCATTATGTTGAGATGTGTTCCCCCTATACCTATTTTGTTGAAAGTTTTTTTTTAGTCATAAATGAATGTTGAATCTTATCAAATTTTTTCTGCATTTTTTGAGATGATTGTATAATTTTTATTATTCTTCATGTGGTTAATATGATGTATCACATTGATTTGCAGATGTTGAATCATAGTTGCATCCTGGAGTAAAGTCACCTGATCATTATGTGTGATCCTTCTACTGTAATCTTGAATTGAACTCGCTAATATTTTGTTGAGGATTTTTACCATATGTTCACCAATGATATTAGCCTATAATTTTCTATTTCATCATGATTTAGTTTTGGAAGATTGTATGTTTCTAAGTATTTATTTCTTCTAAGTTGTCCAATTTGTTGGTGTATAATTCTTCATAGTATTCTCTTACAATGCTTTGTATTTCTGCAGTATCAGTTGCAGCTTCTCTTTCATTTCTGATTTTGTCTCCTCTCACTTTTTTCCTATTTAGTGTACCTAAAGGTTAGCCTATTTGCTTAGTTTTTCAAAGAACCAGCTCTTAGTTTCATTGATCTTTTCTATCATGTTTGTAGTTTCTTTTTCACTTATTTATGCTCTGATCTTTATTACTTCTTCCTTCTACTATTGTTGAGCTTTGTATATTCTCTATTTTTTTAGTTCCTTTAGATGTAAAGTTAATTTGAGATTTTATTTGTTTCTTGAGGTGTCCTTGTATTGCTATAAGTTTCCATTTTAGAACCTTTTTTTTTGTTGTATCCCATAGATTTTTGACTATTACATTTCTATTTTCATTTGTCTCTAGATATTTTTTAACTTCTTGAGTTCCTTGAGGACATTGGTTGTTCAGTAGGATGTTGATTAATTGCCACATTTTTTGTGTTTTTCCAGTTTTCTTCTTGTAGTCAATTTCTAGTTTCATTTCATTATGTTTGGGAAACACGATTTATATGACTTCAAACTTCTTGAATTTATTGAGACTCGTACTATAGCCTAACACGTGATCTATCCTGGAAAATGCTCCATGTAAACTTGAGGAAAATGTGTATTCTGCTACTTTTGGATGGGATGTTTAGTATATATTTATTAAGTTCATCTAATCTAATCTGTCAGTTAAAGCCAGTGTTTCCTTGTTAACTTTCTGTCTGGATGATCTATCCATTGATGTAATTGGGATGTTAAAGTCCCTATTATTATTGTATTGCTTTCATTTTATTCCTTCGATCTATTAATATTTGCTTTATATATTTTGATGTTCCCATGTTGGGTATATATAAATAAAAATATATATTTACAAATATTATATTTTTTGTTGGACTGACCCCAGTATCATTATGCAATGATCTTTTTGTCTTTTATGACAATCTTTGTTTTAAAGCCTATTTTACCTGGTATGAGTGTAGTTATACCAGCTTTCTTTTCCATTCCATTTGCATGAAATATCTTTTTCCATCCCTTCATTTTCAATCTGTGTGAGTCCATACTTCTGAAGTGTGTTTCTTGTAGGCAGTATATAGATAGATCTTGTGTTCTAATTCACTCAGCCACTCAATGTCTTTTGATTGGCAAATTTCATCTATTTACATTTAGGATAATTACTGATATCTATATACTTATTGCCATTTTATTAATTGTTTTCTGGCTGTGTTTGTAGTTTTGTTGTTGTTCTTGTTTTTGTTGTTGCTTTTTCTTCTCTTTATTTCTTCCCTGGAGTTTGATGGCTTTCCAAAGTGTTATATTTAGTTTCCTTTCTCATTTTATTTGTGCATTTACTCTAAGTTTTTCCTTCGTGGTTATTGTGAGGTTAACATAACATTCTAAGTATATAACCATCTAAGTTGATAGCAACTTGAATTTGGACACATTTGAAAGCTTTACATTTTTAGCACCTCTTCACATTGTATGTTTTTGATGACACTTTATACTTCTTATTTTATGCATCTATTAACTAATTATTATAATTTCAGTTAATATTAATACTTTTCTCCTTTAATCTTCATGTTAGCATATAAGTGATTATTCCACTAACTGTACTATATATTTACCTTTTCCAGTTAGATTTTTTTTACTTACACATACTTTCTTATTATTAATTAGCACCATATCTTTTCAGCTTATAAAAGTCCCTTTATGACCAGACTGGTGTGGCTCAGTTGTTTGGGCATCGTCCCACAAAGTGAAAGGTCACTGGTTCAATTTCCAGTCAGAGCACATGCCTGGGTTCCAGGGTCGGTCACCAGTGAGGGTGCATATGAGAGACAAGTGATGGATGTTTCTCACATCAATATTTCTCTCCCTCTCTTTCTCCCTCCTTTTCCTTCTCTCTAAAAATAAATAGTAAAATCTTTTTTTTAAAGTCCCTTTAACATTTCTTGTAAGGCCAGTTAGGGTGATGAACTCCTTTGCCTTTTGCATATCTGGAAAATTCTTAATCTCTTCTATTTTTAATGATAATCTTGGAGGCAGAGAATACTTGGTTGTAAGTTTGTTTGTTAGTTTGTTTGTTTGTTTTTTCCTCTCAGCACTTCGAATATGTCATGCCATTTCTTCCTGGCCTGTAAAGTTTCTGTTGAAAATCTGCTGAAAGCCTTTGAGGGTTTTCCATGTTTGTGACAAATTGTTTTTCTCTTGCTGCTTTTAAG